AAAAATTGTTCAAATTCTACATATTTTTCTAGTTACTAAAAATAAACTTATTTATATAAAGCTAGTTTTCCCTACCATCAAATTTCAAAAAGTTTTATATTAAGAAAAAATGTTGCATACTTCTAGGGTGTGGAGTAAATGCTAATGGAAACTGATTGGAATTGACTTAATATATTAAAGCTAGTAGTTCCATTAGCTATGGCTGCTTTATGATGTCATGTCAGGGACATTATTAATCTTGAGGTCTGGTCTACTTTGGTTTGACAGCAGCACCTGCTCGATTTCACATTGATTGTGATTGTCTCGACTCGTCTTGTCTTGTCTGGGCTCGTCTTGAGGTGATTTGGCTTTAATTGGGCGCTTCCCTTTTGTGTTGTGCGGCATATTAAGCTGGCTCTGTTATCCAGGCGTAATCCTTGTTAAGTTCTTAATCGATTTGTGTGTGTTTGAGCAGGATTTAAGGGTGCGCCTGGGATGCCTGGGATGCCTGCCTGCCACCCCCTAAACGGAACTCGACGCACTTGCTCAATTACGATTACGACACCGCAAAAGAGGAGCGTAAAAAAGAGAAAGAGACGGATGGAGAGATTGAGAGAGATAGGAAAGGGCACAAAACACCTTGAATACTCCCTCGACGCGTCCCTCTCATTTTCCAATGACGTTGCGTTATTTTCATAAATTATTTAAAGTATGCCAATATTTGTTTTGCGCTGTTTGCTTAGGTCCTTGATTAAAGGACATCGGACAGTGGGGCCAGCGAGTATATATATCCTGGATATATACTTTATTGAACTTTAAATTAGTTTTATTTGGCCAGAGTCCTGCAAACAACCAACTTAATTGTAAATGACAGCAAAATACGATGAAGCTAAAACACAGCCACACAGCAAAAGAAGATACAAAATGGCGCTGCAATTTGTATATTAAGTCCTTGCGACGCCCCCAGTGAGTCCTGTGCGTCAGGCCAAAGGTTGCTGCGCGTTAAACATAATGAAATAAGCTCATTAAAATGATGAGCCCCGAAAGTTCGCAAAATGGAGCAGGAACAGGAAGTGCGAGCAGGAGTAGGAAATGACAGCAGGAGCAGGAGCTGGGAGCAGGAGCGGGAGTAGCAGGAGCAACAGCTCCAGCAGGTGGCGATAGAGATCAGAGACAAAAACTCACAACATTGGCAGGATTTAGTGATGAGCAGGCACAACTCCACATTAGGTCTACTCTTACACACACAATCTAAATCGGATTTGGTGTATGGAGAACTGAAACAGGACTTAACAGGCATTAATAGGACTCAACAGGCATCAACAGGGCTTATTATTATGAAAGGCTGCTGCAGACAGCCAAATTTGTGAAACAAAATCAGAGGCCTACAGGATGTCAGCACGAATTCATATTTGTTGTATTTTGCGGTTTTCTATATAGCATATTTAAAATATATGAAAGCCTGAAGTGTAACATACTTAAAGCATTTAGGAAATATTTTAATGCAACTAGAAGTTACTTACTTGATCAAAATCTTCTTCTATAATACAAGAACTGTTCATTCTTCATTGTATATCAGATCTATTTGATTTGTTTGAATCCCTAATGTGATTCCAGTTACTATTTAAATATGTGTTATTTGATTTATATTACTTACTTCATTAAATCATCTTTTGCAATTTCATTCACGCTTATCAGGTCCCTTAAATTCCACTTGGGCTCATCTCTAACGCAGATTGCCTGTTCTTTGTATATTGGTTGCCATGTCATTTGGTGCGCCTCAGTTGCCACATTGCCACATCAATCAGCCAAGTGCTGGGCGACTGAGTCCTCAGGCATTCTCGCGCATTGTCAACTTTAAGTTAATTATGCAAGTTTTGCGCTTGATTGATTCGCGCAAAGTGAAAACAGAACCAGACAGAGAGACAGGCAAAGTTAAAGACAGATAGAGAAAGGGAGGGTAAAATGGAGAGGGTATGAGAGAGAGAGAGAGAGAGAGAGAGAATGAGTGCGGGAAATCAATGCGAGAGATTTTCGCAGGCAGATTCAGTGAAGCGAATAATCCGGCAATGCTGCTGCCCACGGAATCAGATTCAGACTCCAACTCAGACTCCGGATCCAGACTCAGACTGTGATTGACAACAGTCACTTAACGCGTTTTTCTGTCAGCTGAAAAGTGGACTCGAAGACTCCCAGACTCTGAGAATCCCTAAAGTTCACAACTTGCCACTTGTTGTCGTGTGGCGCGTTCTGTGGCCGCTGTTAATGAGCCGCAAGTGCGGCAACAGCTGAGCTAAGCGGCAGTCGCATGAGTGGGCAGGATGTGCACGTGCTTCCTCACTTAACACACACCACACAAGCTCACACACACACACACACCCTCAAAATAAAACACACACACATTTTTTTTTGGCCTTGTCCTTTATTATGCTTATATAGTGAGAGTGTGACAGATAGATAGATAGATAGAGACAGAGAGAGAAACATCGACCAACAATAACAATAACAAATTGCATTTTATCTCAATGTTTATCTTTTTAGTTTTTGTCAGTTGGCCTCGAATCGTGTTTGTTCTGTATTCTTGCTTTCTGCAGACTCATCATCATCATCATCTTCATTATCATCATCATCAATGTGATATCAGCACATTTTGTTGAATTTATAATGGCGCCGCCATTCTATTTGATATCTCATCACAATATTCGACAAGCGAAAATCGTTGAAATTGTTGTTGTTGACACAAAATTGACAGACAAACGGCGCTACAAAAACCGTTATCGTATTTTAAAATTTACATTTTTTCTTTTAGTGTAGTGCTTATGCCAAGATTTGATTTGTTGCACAGTTTACAGTGGAAAAATATATATACATATATATATATTTGTATGTATGTACAGGGGCATACCCTTTTGCTTGAGTCAAGAGTGGCAGCGAGAAGCGAATAGAGAAGCTAAATGTTTGAGGAAGCTATCTGTGATTTAATGGAAGCTCATCATTAAAAAAGAACTACCGCATTTCGTGATGCTGCTCGCTTTATAGAAAAGCTGAAGTTAATTACAGCTTATGCGTCTCTAACTGTGATTACAAAAAAATTCGTATTTTTTTATGCTCAAGCTGGAGTTAATTACAACTTGTGCTGTGCTTATCGCATCAAATGTCGTACTTTTCTCTCTGTGATTTGTGTTGTGTATTGGATTTCATCATCACCATTTCGTTACGCTTCTCGTTTTGGAGAGATGCTTAACTTCATTGCAGCATTCGCATCAAATATCGTAGTTTTTACTTACCAAGAAGCAAAAATAGTAGAAAAGTACTTCCTTCTAAAATATAAATTTTTGTTATCCTTTTTTATCCTATGCATCATGCTTTGCTGCTTATTTTACTTCTTACTGCAAAGCATTTAGAAAAGTGAGAAGCTCTTTTCTTCTCTCTCCAACATCATTTATATTTAGAGAAGTAACGATGCTTCCTTTTCTTTTTTTTTCTTATCAATATATATTTTTTATATATTTTATAGTATTTTCTGTCTCGTACAAAACCAATACCAATTCTCGCAATGCTTCGCGCTGCGCTTCTCTCTGCGCTGCTCGCTGTCACTTTGATTGTGAGCTTGGCCCTCTTTTATGATAGCACAATAAAATCCTACATAGTTAATTGAATACTTAGACAATTGTTTAAATGTTCTTTTTAGTTATATTCACATACACATACACTAACACATACCTATACGTATATGTAGGTATGTATGTGTGTTAGAGTACACAATAAATTCGGTGGGCATTTGAGTTTGCTTTGATTTGAATTTATGCTTAGCGAGAGAGATTTTCTTTTTCTTTCTTTCTTGTTTTTTTTTTTTTTGGTTTGCGTAAATCAAATTTAAAGCGATATAGATTGCGTATACGCCTGGCCTACACATTTATATATATATATATATAAAAGTATATACATATTGATTTACTCGTTTGCTTATTTATTTTCACATATATATTTTGTATATTTTTTATTTTGTTTTTAGTGTTTGTTTTTTGTTTGAGTTGTGGTAAAAGTTTACCGCTGCAAATTAAAAGTTGAGCAAGGCGAAACTTTTTCGTATGTTTTTTTATTTTATATGTTTTTTATTTTCCAGCTGCAGTCGAATAAACATGAGAGTTGAAGCATTGCAGTCGTCTAGTGTAGTGTGTCTTGATTGTGTGTGTTGTGTGTGTGTGTGTGTGTGTGTGTGTGTGTGTGTGTGTGTGTGTGTAGTATATTTGTTTGCCTCTAAGATAAAGTGCTCTCGAGAATGCTGTGAGCGAAGGGTAAACAAAAGCCAAAGTCCTTGCCGGTTCAGTGTGTAAGTTCGACTCTCGCAAATGAAAATAGTATGATCTGTGTGTGTTTGTGTGTGTACAGGTACCGTTAATACCTAAAAATAGACTTCTCAGCTTATAGAGTTTAGAGTTACAGTTGTTTTTTCTTGTGAAACAGCAGTGTAAATACTTGTTCGCATTTAGATATTCTAAAAGAGAATTACATAAATATATATATATATATTTGGATTGTATGTATAGATATCTAGAGTTTTTTTGTTTACTTTGTAACATTTTATAGGCTTAGCTAATAAACAACAGTCAACATTTAACAGTCATTCCGATATGAGTTTCATTTTGCATTTGTTTTCTTGATTTGGAAGAGATTTCAATTTGTGTGTGTTTTTATTTGTTTGTTTTTTTCTTTTTATTTTTCTTTGTTTAGCTACCAAGTCTCAAGTGATTTTTTTTGTTTGATATATTTGGCGCTTTTTTGAAAATATATATTTATATGTATATATGTATGTATATCTTAAGCTTGTCATCTAAGTTACTCAAAGGAGCTTTTAACCATAAATATACAGCTACAAGTTATAGTTAAATACACACTTAAAAATGTAAAATATCTTATAACATTTATATAGTTGTTCGGTTGCTGGATTATATATACTTTAAGCATATTTGTTGATTTTCTTTTTACTTTCATTCATTTTAGAAAAAAATTGACAGCACATTATTGAATTTAAAATGTTGTTTTTACTGTTTGCATTGCATGGAACACATAGAAATATACAATTATACAATTTAATATTAATGCGTACAAATTATGATATGTATGTATGTGTGAGCGACAATTAAAAAATACTCTTTCCCCTCGAATATTCTTTGACTTATCAGCGAGGCCTGAGACACAACCCAAATATGTAGGTGCCAGAAACTGGAGGCTATGCCAAGGCCAGACGCTCGACTCTTGCCGATAACTGTGTGTCTGGGGCTCTAATCATAATCAGAGCGTTCACCATAAACAAATAGCCCACTATCATTAAATCTCAATAGGGGCCTGACCGCACCAGGCACATGCCACATTCAATAACTGCGACGTACTATGTGAGAAAAGGTGGCTTGTGTCTTGGAGCGCAGTGTGGGAGCCAAAAGTCAATCACATCTCGGCAGCTGGGTCAAAAAAGTTCCTGGAATTTATTAGAACATTGCTTCGAATGCCAATCTCTCTGATTTCAAATCATTCACAAAACCAAAACACTTTTGAACTTATTCAAAATTGCGATAACGGTATGGAAAAGCATATGTATGCAGAGCAGAATGACGCTTCTACGACCCAATAAGGTATATATAATCTTGATCGGGTCGATCTAGCCGTGTCCATCGGTTTGTCTGACCATCCGTATAAATCTCTTAGATTATAAGAGCTGGAAACTTTAAATTGGAATTGGAATGGAGTACCAGACGCAAATTTATTTAATTTTATCGATAACTGTAAGAATTGTAGATCGTATAATCATAAATCATATTAAACAAACTGATATCTAATAATATTGTGGGCACCAAAACTTATTTTCATATTGAAATGAATGTCAGCCTACTTTGTATTTAAAAACTGTTTCCGGTTAGCTGCTAGTCGAGAGCTCTCTACTACAGCACACTTATTTGCTTAGAAATTGATAAGCATTCATTTTTAACTTCAACCCAGTAAATTATCTCCCCATTTCTAACTCTGAGAAGTGTTTTTCGTACAAGTAATATGATTTGGATATATTTTCTCATTTGCGTGTCAAAGTAATGCCAGCCCTATGACAGACAAATCAGCTAATAAGAAAAATTGTTGAAACACAATTAAAGTTTGCTCAAGTGCTTGTCAAGTTTTACAGACACCTAAAAAAGATGAGCCCTAAACCGCCGAGAATTTGAGTGCGTTTCGTCTGCCACAACATTTGACAACATCTTTTGCAAAGTGTTTGCTCTCAACTTTCTTAAGCCATACACTCACACACATACACATACTCATACTATGGGTCTATATATCGCACACGCAAATTGGCTGTAATAATTTGGGTTTTTTTTTTTTTGGTTTTTTGTCTCAACATTCATAATAATTTGTATATGTTTATAATACTCGTAAAAATGCCTTTAAAAAGAGAACATCAAAACAGTTTTAATGCAAGCTGAGCATTGGCTATATAATATATATATATACTTATATATATATCTGGGCTGGAGGTACATATGTACTTGATGTGTATATAATTTTTTTTCTTCTAAAATGCTAGCAAAATAATTTTTGTTTAGCTCTGGGTTTTCTCATTTTTTTTTGTTTTGTTTTTTGGCTATTTGATTTGTAGCACTTTTGTTTTTTGGTGGTGGACTCTATTTTTATTTATTCTTGACTTCTTTTGTTTTACAGCACGTGAAGATTTTCACAGCTTTTCGATTTGGAAATGTCGCTAAGGCATATTTTTTGTAGGATTTCCTTGGCCAGATGCAGCGAGATGTGGGTTCGCGAGGTTTTCATCTTCGATGAGGTCGCTTTCTGTTCGCGTTTCTCCTTCAGACGCATCTGCAAAGAAATTGTAAGTGTTAGAGGGGAAAATGTGAGACTTCTACACTCAACAAAAAAGTCACCATCAATTTTAGAAAATCACGCTGAAAATTAATACATTTTTCTTGATTTTATGGAAGATTTGTTAATGTGAAGTACAAAAGTGACTACAAATTAGAAAGGCTTGCCCTAAATATATAAATAAAATAGGGATATATTTTTCTGAGTGTGCCAGTTTTAATAACATTAACTAGACGTCCGGCCGTCTAGCCGTGTCGACTCAATTTTCATTAATTAGTGTAACGATGCGTAACCATCCACAACCCACAACCCATTTTAGCCACAAATCCATTTTAGTTATTTCCTGCACAATTTTCGCATGCATCAATGAGTTGCGTGTATTTCGCACCTAAACCTAAATAGCCGCAAAGCCAATCCACCCTTAACCATATCACAACCATCCTTCTGGTCTTACCTGCTTCAGTATCCCGACGAGCAGCTCATCGACATTGTGCTGAATTCCACTGGACGTCTCAATAAATTTGGCATCGCGTGAGGCGGCCAACGTTTTGCCCTCTGTATATATGTGTGTTGTTGTTTGAATTGTTTGGCCAAAAGTGAAATATGAAACATGAAACGAGAAACGAGAAATTGAGAAATGAGAAATCATAATTAAGACATGGCAAACGAACCAGAAACAACCAGTCCCAAACATTCTTACACCTAGCGATGAACACGTGTCAAAGTCGTTATTAAACAGGGTTCAAACCGAATTGTTTTGAAGTTCCGGTTCCGGTACATAAGTGTATTAGGATTCCGGTAAAGTTTATGAATTGGTTCCTAATTGATTTCCGTACACGGTTTCGTTATGGCAACGTATAAAAACTGAATTGCTTTAAAGCCTATTTTCAGATCGAAAAAAATGGTATCAATAAAATTTCATCAAGAAAGTTGTGAAAGAAAAAAATTAAATTATTCTCATCGTCTAGGAATAAAGTATATCAATAAAAACCGTAGGGGCTAGAAAATTAGTTAATTAATTGGTTCTTTCAAGTGCAACTTTTAAGTACTCAAAGTATCTTTTACTACATAAATAAGCCGATTCGATTTCAAAGCACGACAAACACGCATCTCCAGTTGGTGCAACCACAACACCAATCCGAAACCATTACTCACCCTGTGACGTGATAAGCCGAGCACGAGCCAAGTCAGCCTTGTTGCCCACAAGTATGACGGCCTTATCCTTGGTGTAGTTCTCCTGCCACAAATAGTTGATAATCTCCTCGGCAATGCGAAAGGAGCCCTTGTCCACCACGGAGAAGACGATAACACAGCCGTGCGGCTCGTACGTGGACAGTGAATTCTCCACACTCATCTCCACACTGGGATGGTCGATAAAAACCATTTCGGATTCCTCATCGTCGAGCAGAACGCTGACCGTCTTCTCGCCGAACTCATCGTCTAAAACTCGGATTAGAATTAAAACTCTATAGACGCAAGTGGAAACTAGGCGGCATGGGATCGGTATATGGATCAGCTTACACGCATAGGTTCCAGCTTTCAAAAAAGGATAGCAGGCACAAACAAGGAGAAACTGTTTGCTGCTCGCCAGGATTATTCACTTACCCAGACTTGCATCGTATGTGTGCATATATTCCGATGTCATAAATTGATTAACGAGTGCTGTCTTTCCCACACCCGCGTCGCCCAACATGACGACACGATAGCGAGCCGGCGGCGGTGGATCCATGTTATCCGACTCATCCGGTGAGGCGGGCAGCGAATCTACATTTGCATAGGCACCACCACAGCAGCTACCCTCGAAGGGTGAACGCTCACTCGCCCGACTATTGGTGGAATTGACGCTGGTATTGCTGCGGGAACGTCTCGATATAATCGAATCTCCACAATTGACTACGTTGCCCTTGCTGATGGAGAAGTGACGCAGACGATAGAGATCATCGCTGGCCCGTGGATTATACGGCCGTTCCGGCAGTGAGCACACACGCGGGCGAATGTGATCAGGTACTGTTGAGGGATTGGACGGAGAGATGATGGATTTAATGCCTGACTCGCCCACACTCACCTGGCAACTCTAGAAAATTGGAGGTGCGACGTTGTCGACCGCGATTTGAGCTCTGGAAGGCCAACGGACCGATGTCATCGTTGGAGAAAATGGAAGCATTCGAGCAGGCGCTCTTCATCGACTCACGCGAACTGCGACGACTAGCCAAATAGGCCAGGCCGCCCTTGGAGCTGCCTCGCCGCCGTGGCTTATACTCAACCTGATCCCGTTTCGGCTTTGACGGCTTACAGCCGCTCAACTCATGCTCCGCATCCTGGGTGAGATCACTGGTTGACTTCCGATAGCGCAACGACACCACACTATCCGAACAGGTGCGATCCAGTGTGGAGTGGGAACTGTGCAACACCTGATAGCCCGGATTCGAGGTGATGTTGATGGCATGTCGACGCTGACGCTGCAACTGTTGCAAATCACTCGTGGTCACTGTGCCGGCATCTGTGTCCGTATAGCTAAAGCTCGTTGTAGTTGTGTTTGTGTGCTGTGTCGGCTGCGTGTCCGCCGATTCCATCGACAGCTGTGTGCACTCCGTGACGCAAGAGTCACGCTTAACGTTGTAGTAACCACCACCACCAGCAGACGCACAGCCTGCACCACTTGCACTACCTGCACCACCTGCACCGTAATTGGCTCTTTCTGCGACTGCATTCAGACAGCGTGCATCGATTTTGGTTATTACGGGCAATTCCCATTCATCGCGACGCCGTTTTCCATTCGCTCCCGTTGTGGTCACATGAGGCACTTGCTCCGATCGCATTAGCTTCTTGGAGCCCTGTCGTCGGGGCGAACTCGGCGGTTCATAGTACAGCGAGCCATCGTCCGGTGAGATGGGCTCATAGTATTCAAATTTTCGGCTCATGCCCGATGGCTCAGTGTCGCCGCCACCCGGACTGACGGCATCGAATACAAACTGACACGGAGATTTGGGACTCCGCGTCATACCATGGCCACTCAGCAGCGAGGCGGAGTCATCCGTAGAGCCCGAGTTGGGTGTCTGGTAGTAGGAGGAAGGCGTCGAGATGCTCGGCTCATCACAGCTATCGTTCGCGTAGCTTGTCGTTATCTTTGGACTCCGGGGCGGCTCATAGCTGTCGTAGCCATAGCTGTAGCCCGTTTGCGTGGGCGTGGCATACACCGAAGGCGGTGCCGGATGGTAGCTTCTGAAAGAGTTAGAAATAGTCGTGGCTATGCTTGATCAACTCTTTTTATAGATTTATTGCAAATCTTCTCTCAACTTGGTCAGCTATTGATTTTGATAATCTTTTTATATTTTTTTTATTATGTTGTTTATTATTTTGTTTTGTATATTTAATTACATTTTATGTTTACTATTAGTAGATTGAGTTGTTGCCTTCATTGTTATCTTGAGAACACTCCACAGTTACAAATCTTCATTTATTTCGAACAACCAAGAAATTTTAAGAACAATAAGTGATATGGGGAACTATCTTATGTCTCAAGTATCTCGTATATTTTTTGTGTCACTAGGATCACAACAGTTTCTCGTACATCGGTTTTACTACAAAAGGCATTCAATCTGAGTTAAACATTAGATAAAAAAGAACCCTTTAATTCACTTTCCACAAAGCCTTACAAGTTTTTGATTTTATTAAGCATTGGCCAAAGGAACTTAACCCTTATTATTTACACCCTTATTATAAATTAATTTTTCTTTTCGCTCTAGACCTTGCTGTTATTTCTTCGCACTCTTGCTTAAGCACTGTTCTATTAATTGTGAACCTTTTTGAGTACTCTGTAATGATTACAATATACTTTAGCATGTAATCAATTCAACAATTTCTATCATTAATAACCCAGTTAAATGGATAATTTTTTCGCATGCAACAAAAAAAGTTGAGCCATTTTGCATTGAAATACCCCCAGAAATAATATAAATATTTGTTATTCTCTTTTAATTAACATTTAAATATTGAACTTTTATAAAAGGAATAATATAAATATTGAATTTTATTTTAATTTAATATAATTTAATTTCTTTTTTACTGTTTATATTTTTGATGTTGAGCTGGCATTCAATAAATAAGTAAATAACTTCACATTGATAACGAACTCACCTTGGCGATTTGGGTGTGGCTCCTTTATATGGCAACGGATTGCTGACAGCTCGCGCTGGTGTCTTGTGGCCATGTCCATGCGAGTGTGTTTGTGTGTGTGTGCGTGGATGTCCATGGTTGCTGCTGCCATAACCAGAGGCATCGCCGCCATCCCAGCTGTGCTGCTGCTGTGCCATATCTACCAATTTCTGGCGGGGATCGGGGCTCAGGTTAACCTTACTCCTGCTGCTCCGGCTGCTGTTGCTGTCGCTGCTGTAAGTTGAAAGTCACTCATGTGTAAATATCACGGGTCATTACTCAACACTCACAAAAACACATGCAGACACAGCCGCAGACACACACACACACTAACATAATTTATGGTTTTATCTTTATTTAATAAAATAATGAAAACTACAATAAAAGCAAGCAAAAACCCATAAAAGGTTCCAGCACAATTTCACAGACTGCCACGCCCATAAATCAGCGTGAAAGCCTTGCAGCCAAACCCAGGCATTTCTGTGTATGCGCTGCTTTTACTCTGTTTCGAAGTGATAAGTGAGTATATACTACAATTATCATATTGCCATAACTTTTTGAAAATCAATACGATTTTCATAAACGATGTCTTTCTGATCATAGTTTGCCATCTAGATTAATACAGCATTTTAATTTGGAAACATATTTTGTACTCGAAATTTATCGGATCAAACATGATATTGGTTTGACTTTTAGAACAATCCAACATTTACAGTTAGAATCTCTACTCCGGTTCGAAATTCAGTTTAAAAATAACCCCTTAAAAAGAGCCCGACAAGATTTTCTACAGACATCATTTTGCCAAAAGAAATATGGTTTTCTTAATCATCGTTTGATGTATATTTTAGTTATATACATTTAATAAACATAAATTAATATGAATACAAATCTTGTTTAAGTATTTTATTTAAGCTCTCTTCCGAGAGTATCCCTTGGTCGGTTGCAACCCGTGATTAGCATATTCACTGGGTTTATGTGTGTGCCAGCAAATTGTTATTAAATGTGCGTTCATCTCGCTTTAAGTTGACAGCCGCACAAGTGGCTGTGGCCAGCCCCCAGTTTGCCACACCCTTTGCACACCCAGCCATTTGCCCAAGGCGACACTGACGAAGCGTTTTTGTTGCATGCTTCTCCTTAGCCGTGTAGCATGCAACAGTTCTTTTCGCTCGCCGTGTCTAAAAAGTTAATGTTTGTCTTTCACCTGGCTTTGGCTTAACAAACTGTCAACTTACACACACTCAGGCACACATAATCTAACACACACACACACACATACACTCGCACAACTTTTGTGTATTGGCTACAAAAGATTTGTTGAAGAACTCTGCTACGAAGCACTTTTGCAGCAGTTTGTTCAACTTGATCCAAGTCAGCGACTGCGTCTGACTCAGATGCCTCGATAAAGTTACTCAGTTTTTTTTTTCAGTCAGCAGGTAATGTGTCGAAATTGTGTTGAGCATTTTCCAGTTGAAAGGCAAAAGAAAACGAGGAAAAGTTCTGGAGGCCAGATGTTAATTGATTTTGTTTTGATTGTTGCGCCAAGACGACGATACGAAAACAATTTGTACTCTACTTTTATGACTGTCTGTGTGTCCCAATGATAACAAAAACAGATATAGTTGAGTACAAGTATTACAACAAGTAATACCCTGCAAGGGATAGCTGTCGAATACAAACGTAGCAAGTAGTAAAATTCAGGGATTTATTTTTGGGAATTAAATTACACTTTTATTTGGCTTTGCTCCTCGCTTGGAAAGTTCTGCAAGTTGGAAAAATATGAAAACTCTAAATACTTATTATGGAATAGGTTTATATTCCATATATGCAGATCGTATATATCTGATTGTTATCAACTAATCCTTGAAGACTTCCTCTTCGTTTAACTAAGCTCCCTTTTAATTTGAGGTTTAAGGAAACTTGGACAAATATACAAAACTCTAAGTTGATATTATGGTATAGGCATATATTCCTTATATGATCATATTACATAAGTGGAAAAGACTTTCGAAAGACTTTTCATCAACTAATCCATCTTCTTCACTGAGTAAGCTTCTTTTAATAACTTGCACAGTTCTCTGCTGCCTCATTTTACGGCTCAGATGTTTACAGGGTATACAAAAACAAACCTCTTTCCATAAAATTGGCATGTCACTTACATGTGCAAATCTAGTGTCTCATTTTATTGTCATCCAGCTGTAGATAGTTGGGTGGCAGTCCTGTTCAGCTCCTGGTTTGGTTTTTTTTTTTACTGTCCGCACCGCTCGTAGCTGGAATCCCAACTGTTGCTATTCGCAGTGCTTTTGCCACCTGGCCATCTCTCGCTATAATATCTATTGTAACTATATGTATATATTGAGCGCTATACAAATAGTGGGACACCCACAGGCTCACACACACATACCTATACACAGACAATCCCACACAACAAAGCACTTATACGTGTTCATATTGTTAAGCAAATAATATGAATGCAAACACTGAATACATACATATATATATACCTATATATACCTATATATATATATATATGTATAAGTATTGGTGTTTTTATGGTACCTGTTGTTATTTTAACACCCTCACTGGGACTATGTGTGTATGTGTATTAGGAGTGTGTGTGTGTGTGTGTGTGCATAAGCTAAGCGAATTTTAATTGTTGAGTGGCAGAAGCAAACAACTGTTTTTATGGTAAGATCTCTGTTCGCATGTTAAACATAACAGTTATAACTGTATAAGCAAACAACTGATAATTTTCTTTATAGAACAACTGCTGTTAAATTTGTCTACTAGCAAATTTTCAGTCTGTGTTTTCTTATTCAGCAAAGTTAACCTGTCAGAAAATCAACTCATTATAAATTATGGCTCAGTTTTATTTGACAGCTTAAAGCCCAACTTTCTGCAGTCATAAATAAGAAACATGTGTAGTAAAGAAAATATTTCGCTTCTTTTGTCGAAAATATGCTTTTGAATATTTAAAATCTTTAAAGTACTTTTCAGACGATAGCTGAAAATCTTTTACAAATTCTCTGGAAAAATAAGAAAAGCTGCTTCTCGCTCCAACTTAATAGGAAACCAATTTGTGGCAAGTTTTTCCTTTTATTTAAAGAAGTGTTTTTAATATTTAATAATATGAATATAGAGCATAGCATGTATATATGTTTATAGCTTGCAAATTACCTTTTTGTTAAAGGTAACACAGGCGAATAGCATAATAAGAAGACAAGAATATTTCTTTTAGAGCAGATCTATTTTTTATAGCTGAAAACTGACTTATGTATAACAATGAGGGTAATAAGTTCAAGGAAGATTATATTCTTTTTATAGCTAAAAAGGCAAAATATTCGTCTAGTATAATAAGTGTATGTAACTGGATATATTTTATGGTATATATATATATATTTTATAGCTGAAAAATAGACGCAGCACCTTTGTTATTTATCTTTTTGTACAACTCTTAATTGTAGTTTACGTCATAGTTATAATCGACACCCGGTCAAAGTAAATGCTGAGCAATGCCTGGAAAACACGGAACTTGGCCTGGCTGAGCTACAACGGAGGCGTAGAAGGTGCACAATTGCGACATGCAGAGAATAATAATAATAAAAATGTTTGAATAGAATATCGTCATGGACAACGGTTTTGGTCTTGGCTTGAGCAGCACAACAACAACAACAACAGCAATACATCCGTGAAAGAAATACCCAAGCCCTAACTAAACCCGGCTCTCATCTGCCATCTCTCATTCAACTGGTCTTCGGTTCGGATTTCTATTTGGCCCTTATGTGTGTATTGTCTATGCATGAATGTTGTAGCCAACCCACACACACACCCACCCCCACTCCAGTTCCATCAACAGATTTGTGGCTTATGGCATTGTGTTTCTCTGAATTGAAAAAGGCAGCCGAATGGATTTTAAAATAGAAGCCGCTTATATGTTTCAAACATAATTGCAACATTTTCGAAGGATATTCAGCCCTGACTTTGGCTCCTATAAAAAGTTAATTTGCTATGGCAATCGGACAATCGGTCCATCAATCAATCAGCCAATCCGATTTCTGTTGCTGCCTAAAAAAATGAAGCAACAGTTAACCCAACAAAAAAATAAAATAAAACTCATGCAAAGTAACAAAATTTATTGTGTTGCCCAAGTTGCTAAGGTCGATTCAGTATTTTCTTGTGGGGTGTAAAAGTCTAAAGAGAGTTTATACAGTCGTATTTTTCTATTTTATATTTAACCCTCAGCAGATGAAAAAATAATTATTTTAAAAGCAAAAATCGTAGCAGCAAATAATCAAAAGAATTACTTTTCCAAAAATGTTAACAACAAATAATCAAAAGAATTACTCTTCTAAAAATGCTAACAGCAATCAACTGATTAAACCAAATTTTTGCCTCAACATTTGAGTTCATTGCTTTGACCTTTAAGCCACAAAGCAAAGGTTTTTAGCCGCATTAAGCAAATTTCTCAGAAAACGCGAGCAAAAGAAAGAATGTTGAGCGAGCGAGCAGATAAATAAGCCTTTAAAGCATGGCAAAAATAGCATAGCTTGTATATATTAATAGAGCTATTGTAGTTGCGAATGAAGTGTATCAGAGTTTTGCATACGATTTGACAGAAAATAACCTCAGGGCCCAAAACCAAAACCAACTGAAACTGATTTAATTCGGATTGCACAGGATTCCGGTGCAGACAAAGGAGCCAGCCGCAAGCACAAAGGGTGAGTGTGATAAAGGGATTTGCATATTTGAAGGACTCAACTCAACTTAACTCAACTCCGACTGACTCACAAATGTAATTTGTATGCGTATTACGAGTTGTAGCATGTGAACTAGTTGGGTATCCAGCAAAAGGTTCAAATGCCGCTGACCTGCACCGATCAACTTTTGTGTGCCCTGTGTTATTATATATACAACATCCCTCAAGCTCATATTCTACACTAAAAACAAAATTGCCCTGATTTTTAACAATTTGACGCCAAGGGTAACTAATCTTATTATTCGGAAAGCACATTGCTAAAGACTTTCTAGAAACCAGGGTATGCAATTTTATGCTTATTTGTGTATGTTGTTTGTTGTTTTGTACCTTTTATAGTAGCTGCTTTGGTATTATTATTAAACGTTAGTTATTTATGCTTCGACATATGCAAACACTTTACAATGTTTATAAAAATCCATGTAAGATTTAGGATTTACATTTCTACTTTATGCAAATTCATTTCTTAATAAATAGAAAACATTTCTTAAGAATAGAACACCATATTTTTGAGATTGTGGACTTAAGGCAAACCAATCTAATTTTAAGAAAAATATTTTCTTACATTTAGAAATGAATTCCAAGCTGAAGAAAAACTTTCTCATTTACTTAATACCCGGCAATTTGTTTTTCTGAGTGTGGCATTTACGGCGTATAATGAACCCGACTGCATTTCTACATAGTCATTAACTTGTGGCTTCTTTTCAGCTAGTTTTGCCTGCTGCTTTTTAGTGGACAACCCTTTTAAGTAAACTTTGCTTAATTACATGCCCGCACCCGTTAAGCACACATTTAACACCCATACACTTACTCACACACACATACACACACACACACACACACACACTAAGCAAACATAAATATTATCCCAGCCACCACAAATTGTCCCCATTCTCCCCACCTGCCCCATTTAGTTGCGCCTCTGACCAGCACTTGGCTGGCAGAATTAGCGTTTGTTGTAAAAATAAATGCGTCTATAACCAAGTGTGTGTTTTAGCTGATGTACGTGTGTGTGCTAATGTGTGTGTGTGTATGTGTGTGTCTGTTTGTGTGCATTGGTATAGCTAAAGCATAAACAAGAAAAGTCCATAAAACACTTAGGATCAAACAATATACCAGAAGCGTTAAGAAAGTGTAGTCTATTTAGTGGCGCAGACCAGAGTGCAAAACCATCGGTGAGTGTTGCAACAAATCGCTCCGATTAAGTTCAATTGAACTTATTGATCGACTGAACTAGTTACCTGATTACCACTCAAGTTGTCCAATCGGTGTTTTGAATCACTTTCTTGTTCATTATTTGCAAATTGCAATAAGAATATATATTAAACAAATAAACAATTAACCAATTTCTGACTCAACACCATGCAACACATACAAAATTAATGTTTTACTTATATAAATATCACTTAATTCATATATAAATCAGCTGCTGAATCAGAGAACTATTCTTGACTTAAACTAAAAATATGCAATTTTGAATGTTCAAGAATGGACAAATGTGCATAACTCTAAGCTTTGTCAGCTGATATGAAAGATGAACACCAACCGAAAAGTCCATTAAATAACCTAAATCATATTAAATATAATTCAAATGAACTAGTGAACTACTTCACCCAATTGAACCAGAACGTTCAACACTACATCTGCTGGTCAGTTCAAATTAGAATTGTTAGGCCAAAAGTCACGTTCGCAACTTAGTTATTAGAACAGGCCTGGCCACTTGGCCAAGCACCACCCCCGCCTTAACCACTACACCCCCTCAGTTGGCCCCCTCAGCTGCCCATCGATTTTATTGCAACACATAATTCTTGGCGCGAGCGCCATTTGCGCAAATCTCATGTTGATGGCATATTAAGTGGAGAAACAGTTGCTTTTTGCCCCCAAAAACCCCCCAACAATTTGCTTTTAAATGCGTCATTTAAGTTGAGGGGTGAGTGGTTGGTGTGGTGGGTGAGGGGGAGGATGAGGTGTGAGTTAGGGGCGGCCAGGTATAATTAGAGGCGTCTGGTGTCGCAAGTTTGTGTCGCGAGGATTAGCAATTAAACAAGTGTCCTGTGTGAGGCAGGAAGCAGAAGCAGCGGAAGAAGGCATTAAGCGCAACAAGTGCCACAGCATAGACACAAGCCTAATCCCAGCTAAAGTTAACCAACCAGGGTGAGCAGGAGGACGGTGCAGTGAGGTAGTAGGGCAGAGTGTGGGAATGAGAGAAAGAGTGCGAGGCAGCTCATAAATCAACATGTCAAATCGCAGCTTAACACCAGACTCACACATACACAACACACACACACACACAGTCTTACTGTTGAAAATCACACACACATTTTCTTTTTATGTTTACCATTTTTGACTCTTTTTGGAGTTGGCAAAACTTGTTTGCTAATTGCACAAAAAAGTTAACTTTGGTAATTGTCTTAATTGCGTTACGACACTTGCAACTAGAAACCAAAGCCAAGCAACAGTTTGTACAGTTTATGTTGCTGTTGCTGCACTTCCGTTTCCGCTTCAGCGTTGGCTGCAACAACTCTCTCTCTCTGTCTGTCTGTCTTTGCCGCGCTTTGCCGCACAATCAATAAACTGCCGACCGAGCGCGCCCGCAGCTCGAGCTGAACTGTGGCAGCAACACGGTCGCTGCTGCATTTTTAGTCACTGGCAATTTTGAAAGAAAAGCTTGCGCGCTCAAAAAGCTCTTTCCAGCCTGGAAGTCCTTCGCTTAAGAGCAGCATTTTTTGTGTTTTGTTTTTTAATTGTGTTTTGCCTTTTCGGTTTGTGGTTAAATCTTTGCATTGACTTCAATTACATGTTGCAGCTTATCACTTTGGTTTGTCGCTTGTATTTATGTTTATATTTTATTTTATTTTATTTTTTCTTCCTTTTTTGCTAAACTATTTTCTTTTTTTACTTTTTGAATTACTAATCAAGCGTCTTCATTGCCTTATTGGTTTGTGGTTCAAATTTTGCATTGACTCCAATTGCATGTTTTTTTTTGTTTTGTTGCTCTTTTTACTGAATTATTATTTTTTCTTGCAATTTTTAATTCCCATTCAAGCGTATTTTTTATTTTTTTTTTTCTTGGCATGTTTTTTTTTTCTTTGAAAAGTTTTTATCTGTTTAAGTAATTGTTTTGTGGTTCTTACTAAAGAGCACTTTTTATGTTGTTTTTCTTTTTTATGTGGGTTCATTGTGGATTGAAAATTTATTATGTTTGTTTATTATATTCTGTTGTGAAGTATTTAATGAGAGATAAAAAGACATTTAATTTTTGTTTGTGATAAAATCTTTTGGTTTTATTATAAATTTTTTGATTTTTTTCAGATTTTCTTTTTTTTCAAAATTTATACAGTTCTTAAAGTAAGCTTAAAATAGAAGGCTTAAACAATAAATAGTTTTGGAAGTCTGCGACTTAAATGCTATAGAAACGACTATGTGAAGAATTATATATTGTTGGCGTAGTCTTCAGGCTATATAAGTATAGAGTATATATGTGGTTTATGATCAGGTAGGTGGGGGATGGGTTATAGCTTGGGGATAGCATTGCTTAGGCTTATAGGTGTGTTGCAAGGCGGGTAAAGATGTGTGCGTGATGAGTGTAGAAGGGGGCGTGATGGGGTATTTGTGATAAATTCTATGTTTGCCAAATTTCATTTACAAGTCGGCAACGCGTTTTTCCAGCTTTTCCAGCTCCGCGTAGATGCTAGCGGGCAGATCGGCGCCCACCTGGGACTCAAAGTAGGTGCGGATATCCTTCACCTCCTGAGTCCAGAAGTCCTTGGGCAGCGAGAACAGTTGCTTCATATCAATCTTCTCCTTCATGCCAGCCACGTTCAGTTCCCCATCAGCGGGTATCAGACCAATTGCGGAATTCTCGTAGCAGGGTTCCTCGCTGACACGGCGCAGGATCCATTCGAGCACACGGGAATTCTCACCGTATCCGGGCCACATGAATTTGCCCTCATCGCTCTTGCGGAACCAGTTGACATGGAAGATCTTCGGCACCTGTCCACGCTTCTCCATGCTCAGCCAATGGGCCACATAGTGACCAAAGTTGTAGCCGAAGAAGGGACGCATTGCGAAGGGATCGTGCATGATCACCTTGCCCTTGTGTTCCGCAGCAGCTGTCGCCTCACTCCTCATGGCGGCACCAATGAAGACACCATGTGTCCAGTCACGAGCCTGATAGATTAGGGGCACTCCAGCCGGACGACGACCGCCGAAGAGCATGGCAGAGATGGGCACTCCAGCTGGATCCTCCCAGGCAGAATCGATAATGGGACACTGGGCAGCGGGTGTGCAGAAGCGAGAGTTGGGATGAGCGGCGGGTTTGCCGGACTCCTTGGACCAGGGTTTGCCCAACCAATCGGTGATCTGGACATTGGGAGCCAGACTGCTCTCCATGCCCTCCCAATAGACACCGCCATCCGAGGTGGAAGCCACATTCGTAAAGATGGTGTCCTTGAACACGGTGCTCATGGCAATGGGATTCGTTTCAACCGAGGTGCCGGGTGCAACACCAAAGAAGCCATTCTCGGGATTGATGGCACGCAGAACACCCTGTGAATCGAACTTCATCCAGGCAATATCATCTCCGACACACTCCACCTTGTAGTTGGCCAGAGAGGGGTTCAACATAGCCAAATTGGTCTTGCCACAGGCCGAGGGAAAAGCGGCAGTGATGTACTTCTTGACGCCCTTGGGATTGGTGATGCCCAGGATGAGCATGTGCTCGGCCAGCCAACCCTCTCGCTTGGCAATGGTGCTACCAATTCTGAGAGCAAAGCACTTCTTGCCCAGCAGAGAGTTGCCACCATAGCCCGAGCCATAGGAGACAATCAGATTCTCGGCCGGCTTGTGCAGAATGATGGTGCGTTCGGGATCACAGGGCCACGAGGGCATTTCCACCACACCGTTGGCTGGTGTGCCTACGCAGTGGAGGGCCCGGACGAACTCCTCCTTCTTGGCCAGCTGCTGGAGGACAGCGGCGCCCATGCGGGTCATGATGCGCATCGAGGCCACCACATAAGCGGAGTCGGTGACCTCAATGCCGATCTTGGAGAGCGGCGATCCCACTGGACCCATGCTGAAGGGCACCACATACATGGTGCGTCCCTTCATGCAACCGGGGAAACGTGCCTGAATCGCTGCCTCCATATCCACGGGTGAAATCCAATTGCCCAGGGTGCCCTTGACACCATCCTTGGGCGTGGGAATCGTCTCCGAACGCTCTTCGGTGCAGATGAATGTCTTGGACTCCACACGGGCCACATCACCGGGATTGGTGCGTGCCAACCAGCAATTGTCGTACTTGGGCAACGGGACAATTGTGCCCGACTCCAGCAGAGACTTGATGAGCATCTTGTTCTCCTGCTCGGAGCCATCGCAGATGTGCACCTGATCAGGCTGGCAGAGAGCAACTGCCTCCTCGACAAAGCTGCGCACGCCAGCAGTCAGCGAGCTAGCATCGCCATAAGAGGTGGGAATACCACGAATGTGGCTATAGAGTCCACAATTGTCCTGGCGCTGCTTGTGCAGCTGGGGAAGACCGCAACCATTGGCGGAGCTGTAAGTGGAAGAGAGAGGGACGATGATGAGTATATGTTGCTAGAGAAGTGGGTCAGTGATCTATTTCATATACTAATTTAAGTTGACTATATGCTCTAGTTTATGTTTTTCTGATAGTGGGTCACTTGAAAATTTTTTTTTTATTCAACTATCTGGCAAATTTCATAAATTAAATATATTTAGTATAGATTTTTTAATACTTTCTTTTAACCTTAACTCGGAAATGTATTCAGGGTGTGGCATATACAGACTACTCTATTAAAACAAGAGCATTAAATGCTTATCATAAACATTTTTGTGTATTTCACAGAATTTTTTCCAATACATTTTTTTTATATATTTGGTACACACATTTTTTTTGCACTGTCAAAAAGTTCACTTGAATTTAAAAATACTTTTTAGAGGGGCATGCAACACAAATGCAGCATCTAGAGGCTTCGAGGCGTACGTTTGTGATTTTTTTTCATGCTACAACTCATACTTACATAATTTTGCTTTGTTCAATGAGCTCAGGCATTTTGTTAGTTTTTTTTTGTTTGTTTTGTTTTGAAAGTTGAGAAAAAAATGTTCTTTTGAAAAGACTTTGGAATATGGCGCACGCAATTAACTTTTGCTAAATATCACAATTTAATTATCACAATTTGAATTTAATTTTTCAATTCAATTTTGGTTTTTGTTCTTGTTGCTGCTTTTTTATGTGATTTGCTTTCATATGTTTCTCCAAAGTTTTTTGTCAAATATCAATTTGATCAAACGATCACTGAAATTGAATGTTTCACTTGATCTTTCCATTTACTCAGTCCACGAGTAACTGATGCCAACTGCTCGCTGCAGAAGCCCTTTTATACTTGCGGCAGCGACGCGGCTGGCGCCTGCCCGATGCGACTAGAACAAGATTGACGCGATCGGCTGGCGTTCGGCTCGCCTCGGCAAAACAGCACTCGTTTTTCGTTTGTTTTTTTTTATGAGTAGCGCGCGCGTTTCTCAGGTCAAGCTCGTCGGAGACGCTGATTGGCCGCTCGTTGGGAGGCTCGGCATTGTTTTGATTTTTCACTTGGCTCGTGGATGTCGCAAGGGGTGTGGGGCGGGTGGAGAAGTTGCCGCCGCTTGGCAACAGTTCGTTGTTGTTGGTTGCTTGCCGCTTGCCACTTGCTGTGTTTATTTTTGTTTTCTGTTTTGGCATTTTTTATTCGTTTATTCGTTTATTTGTGTTTCTTTTTTGTTCGCTTCGATTCAGTTTTGTTGTTATGATTTTTGATAACGCGCGCATTTCGCATTTGATAAGAATCGAGTAATTTATTTGTTGCTATTTGCGCTACACTTGTTGGTATTTATTATTTCGCTGCTAATTTAATTATTTTGTTTATTAATTTATGAATTTGTATATTGTATATCGTTCTAGTGCGTAAATAGCTCACAATTGACATGTACACCAATTAGTAGTTATCTAAAAAATCATACTACGTCAAAGTACTTTTTTACCTCAACACTCGCCCTTTGTCTGCGGTACCCCCTCTGGACTTCCCGTGTAATAGTTTTGTTTTGTTAGCGAAAGTTTCCAAATGTGTTGAGGAACTTACTTATGTATATAGTAACCCTACCCAATGATATTGTTTACCTTCTTACTTAAGGGATCTATATAGAACTAACTACGTTTAACAATCTGTCCCTTGGGGTATATAGTTTAGGATTTCCCAGATACTTGTCATCCAATTACTCGCTCACTTGCGATCCCTCCGCACTATTTTAGCTTCAAGGCATAACTAGTTTATTTATACAAACATATTGAATATTGGTATAACCCTTCCCACCTGCTGCAGATACCTTGTATCGCATTTCTTTCTATGCGCATTCCCACTTACAATCACTCTAAACTGTTTTAGCATCAAGATAAAAATAGGAATACTAAATGCGCTTAACTATTTCTGATTATCACCTATCTCCCTAGGCCAGCTGTTCCTTTTTTGCCCTATTACAATTGTGGAATGTGGAATCACATTTTGTTTATATATAGGAATTTCCCGCTTGTATCTGGAAAACCGGCGTAGTTGCTGCCTGCAACCCCATCGCACCCCCACCGTGCCCCATGCACACGCGCACACCTACGCCTTATTGCGCCTCATCGGCCACATCACATGGCAACATTTGTGCTTTGTTGTCAGAGTGCCAGAAATGATTGTTCGCTTTTCCATATTAGCCTCAACTGATGACGGCGAAAACTTGTGATGATCTAGCGGAAAAGCGTGTGCTATAATTCTACAACATATTGACGACCATGAATGGAAAAGCGACCAGCGGCCAGCGGCGAGTGGTCAGTTGATGGCGTTCACATGACTCTTGTTGTTCCCAAGAATAGATATTGCTTGGATATTAGCATCATCATGTGTTTGGAAGGAGAAATGAAGGTTCCCCAAACAACAACAAATGCGCCTGTTGCTTGTAGCCAGCCTCTCAAGTGAGTGACCTTAAACTGAACTTATTATGGAACTGGCTCACCTTGAAATCCTTATATAACGCAGCTTATATTTACAGTTTAAGGTTTTTATCAGGGTACGGTCTCCACGCGCTTCTTAAAACGGGCAAACATAAAATAAAAAATAATAATTCCCTGTTGTCTGTGTTTTATTTATAAACCATGGACTTGTTTTTCTAGTTGAGCTTGATAAGCAGCAGCATCATCAACATTCAGCTGTCTGCCTGTGCTCACACCCCTACACCCCTCCCCCTATCTCTCACCCTACCCTTCACCCCAAGCCTGGCCTCTCCAGAGTCAATTCCCCAATCGAAATGCGAAGATCGACTTTCTATAGCTATATATAAAAATAAGCGTGTGGGATGAGTTTATTATTTTGATTCGACGTCAATGACTTGGCGGATCAATAAATAATAATGAAATCAATATATATATAAATGTATATATATTTATATATATATTTCATATTATTTTTTAACGAGCCCCTAGAGCCGTCTAGATTGAGTGGAAAATGCCTTCTATATATAGAGCTGAGCGCTGATTTTAGTTCATAGCTCTAACTGTGAACCGGATCTAGAAATTGTCTAGCTAATGATCTAATTTCACAGATTTTATTCAATCTGCCAATTTCACAACACTTCTCAACTCAAAAATTTCGAAATATATAAGCATTTTTTAAATGCAGTAGCTCTTAAGATTCTTTTAAAATCTGATTTTCTTTGATTACATTTTTGCGATAAATTTTATCTTGAAAATCAGAGATAAACCCAAGAATAGTCATTTATGAATACAGCAATAAGCCAAACACAGAATTCCTGATAACATTTACTCCAAAAAGAGGTACTCGATTAACTTATCTTTTAAACTAAAAATACCACGCTTTATATTAGCTTCAATTAATGCTTGTAGACCTCTTTTTAGTCAGATCTTTAAGAAATGGAGCCCAAAAAAGGGATTATTTTATATAAGAACCCTTTTTATAGCAGCCCTTTTTCCTCAACTGATTACCTCTAAGCAGATGTCATCATTTCATCTCCCACCTTAGGTAGTTTTGCATGGTAATCGATTTTGTCTGGTTTTCCAAGAGCTACCCGGATCTGAAACCCCTTTCTTTGCCTTATCAGTTTCGTTGAAGGTTTCTTTCTGTTCGCTGTGAAATCACACCACCCGTGACCAAATTATATTAATCAGACCTTGGCAACATTGGAGGCCTGCTTTTTGCCTTTCTTTGAGATCATCGCACCATAATGCCCAAAACTGTTGGTATTATTATTATTTTTTTTTTTTGTACTTGTCACAATTTTATTTGCTTGTTTTCGCTACGATCTTGATAATTGGCTACGGTGCACGAAGGTTAACACGATTATCAATTTATATGCTTGTTTACGCCAACTGTGTGGACGGGCCTCCCGACACACTCTCACACTCCTCTTTATAGGAAAGCAAGAAGAAAGAAAAGAGCTCTCTGCGAAATACCCAAGATTATTTACAGCTGAGTTTGAGTGGTGTCCAAAAAACATGAATATATATTTATAAAGGAAAGAAATTGTTAGATTGTTTCCATGGCAGCCAAGTGATAGACTAATCCAATGCTGACCAGGGGGAAAGGAAGCATTTCAAGAAGTCCAAAAAGTCGTCACTCCATTGAAATCTATAGGAGTACTGTGTAATCCTTAAATAAATACTTAATGGAATCAGTGATGTTTATAATATAATTATATATTATATAATATAATTATAACACCTTTTAATCTGACCGATTGTTTCTACTCTCAAAGTAAATCAAAAAAACAAGAAAATTGGTTTGCAAATTGCTCGTTTTTATTAGACTTTATTAAACTATTAACCATTAGATTACCAATATAACCCCTGGAACTCCATCACATGTTTGCCACGCGCTTCTTCAGCTCGGCGAGCTGCTTGGCCACGGGGCGTGGCAGATGGTCGCCCACTTGAGTCTCAAAGTACTGCTCAATCTCGTTGACCTCCTGCTGCCAAAACTCCTTGGGTAACTCGAATAGCTGCTTGAGATCAATGTTGCCCTTGAGTCCGGCTACGTTGAGAGCATCCTTGCTGGGTAATCGACCAATGGGCGACTCCTCGTAGCAGTTCTCGCCCTGTACACGTCGAAAGACCCAATCCAGTACACGGGAATTATCTCCAAATCCAGGCCAAAGGAATTTACCCTCAGCACTCTTGCGGAACCAGTTAACATGGAAGATCTTGGGCAATTGGCCACGCTTCTCCATGCTCAGCCAGTGGGCGAGATAGTCGCCAAAGTTGTAGCCGAAGAAGGGACGCATCGCGAACGGATCGTGCATAATCTCCTTGGCCTTGTGTTCCGCAGCAGCAGTCGCCTCACTCCTCATCGCAGCTCCAATAAAGACGCCATGTTCCCAGTCACGTGCTTCGTAGACGAGGGGCACTCCAGTCGGACGACGTCCACCGAAGAGTATGGCAGAGATTGGGACACCAGCGCTATCCTCCCAGGCAGGATCAATGATGGGACACTGGGAAGCAGGTGTGCAGAAGCGAGAGTTGGGATGAGCGGCGGGCTTGCCAGATTCCTTGGACCACAACTTGCCCAGCCAATCAGTGACAGTGACATCCTTGATCTGAGCTTCATTCATGCCCTCCCAGTAGACACCTCCATCCGAAGTACCAGCCACATTCGTAAAGACCGTATTCTTAAAGATGGTATTCATGGCAATGGGATTCGTTTCCGTGGAGGTGCCTGGGGCAACGCCAAAGAAACCATTCTCGGGATTGATGGCACGCAGAACACCCTGTGAATCGAACTTCATCCAGGCAATATCATCTCCGACACACTCCACCTTGTAGCCCGGCAGCGTAGGGGTCATCATGGCCAAATTGGTCTTGCCACAGGCCGAGGGAAAAGCTGCTGCCACATAGATCTTCTTGCCCTGCGGATTTGTGATGCCCAGGATGAGCATGTGCTCGGCCAGCCAACCCTCTCGCTTGGCAATGGTGCTACCAATTCTGAGAGCAAAGCATTTCTTGCCCAGCAGAGAGTTGCCACCATAGCCCGAGCCATAGGAGACAATCTCATTCTCGGCCGGCTTGTGCAGGATAATAGTGCGCTCGGGGTCACAGGGCCAGGATTTGTGGGCATGGACACCATTCGCTGGGTTTCCAACAGAATGCAAGCACTTGACAAACTGTCCATCGCCTTTTTCGAGCACCTGCAGCACTGGAGTACCCGCACGCGTCATTATCTTCATGGACTCGACGACATAAGGGGAGTCTGTGATCTCGATGCCAATCTTGGAGAGCGGCGAGCCCACTGGACCCATACTAAAAGGGATCACGTACATGGTGCGTCCCTTCATGCAACCGGGAAAACGTTCACCAATCGCCGCCTGCAGATCCTTCTCGGATATCCAATTGCCCAGTGTGCCCGGCGTTCCTTTGGCCGTCACCGGCACCGTCTGCTCTTTGCGCTCCGTGCAGATGAAGGTTTTGGACTCGACGCGAGCAACATCGGCGGGATTTGTGCGAGCGAGCCAACAGTTGTCGTATTTGGGGAGTGGCTGAATGGTGCCCTGTTTGAGCATCAGACTCTGGAGCAGTTTACTCTCCGCCTGTGTGCCATCGCAAATGTGAACCCGCTCCGGCTGACAGAGATTCACACACTTATCCACATAATCCCGGACAGCGGGTGTCAGTGCCTTGCCATCGCCATATTGCACGGAAAGTGCTCGACAAACCAGTCGAAAATTGTAGCTCTTGGGCGGTGCAACTAGCCTAGTGATAAGAAGTGAGAGAAGAAAGTTGAGTTGGTTTATTTATATATATAAATATATATATAGGTACTTCTGGAAGTACTTCCACTTCTAATGATTCTCGTATTAAATAAATATTTGTTTTTGTATCTATATAAATTTTATGTTTGACTACTTTGCCGGTGGAAACTAGCCTGTGAATGGCTGATAAGAAAAGAGAGAGAAGAGTGTTTAATTGGATTATATGTTTGATTTTTAATATGATTTTTATTTTTAAAAACAAATGCACTTCTAAAAGTACTTGTACTTAATAATAAATTAATGTTTTTTTTTTTGTATCTTGATCTTATGTTTGGCTATCTGTGATAAGGAAAAACAAAAAAGGAGTTGAATTGAATTATATTATTCTAGAAGTGCTGCTACTTATTGTTTATTTTTGTATTTATGTAGATTTTATGTTTGCTGCTACCTGTTGAGTTTTCAGGTAGTTCTAGCTGCACAACCAGAACCAACTGCTTCTGAATAGGGTTTACACTTATACCTGAACTCGCAGCACAGCAAAACTGCCCAGCTTATCTTTTCTCGAGCTAATCGCCTTTTGTGCACAACTGTACCACAATTAGTATTCTAAATGTGCTGCTGCCACTGGAAAAAAGGTGTTGAGTCGCCGGCGCCGTCATTTTTGTTGTTGTTGTTTTTGTTTTTTGTATTTTGTGCCACACACAAACAAAATGTGTAAGATACAAACTGGCTAATCAGCTGTTGGCTGGTTGTGCAGGTTTCTACCTATCGATACACTGTACAAGTTATGTTAAATTTGGCTAAGTTATTTTGTAGTAGATTAAACTGTTCATCTACTACAAAATAACTTAGCCAAAGTCTAATCTTTACACTATGTTGTGAGCTGAACTAAAGTTTAATGATCAATTTAATCCATTTCAAATAAATATTGATTAGATGGATAGATCAGAAACATTTCTCACTTACTCTTCTTCTGGTTAATCCCTGATGAAGTTAACATCTTTAAAGACGTTTTTATTTTAAAGTTTTCCACTTAATCACAAATTAATTCAGAATTCTTAATTGATCAATATAAAATTGAGCTTGATATTAAGCAAATAAAAATAAATTATGCATTTTTTTAATATATGTATATTATTCAAGATGTTGCATGCACCAACAGTTCACAATTCGCTTCACTTCTCAGAGCATTTCCCAGTCCAGAATACCCGCCTCGTTCTTTATATTTATTATTTTATGTTTGCTGCTTTGGATTTTATGAAAAAGTTGCTCAGACGTTGGCACAGCTGGTTCAGCTTTTGGGGGGATTCCAATTTGAACAGAGGCAACGGCATCAGCGACAGCGAGACAACCTTCAATTGTCTCCAAACAGAGGCAGAGTGACCAAAAGAGAGACAGAGCGAGAGAGACAGAGATAAATGAAGGCGTCATGAGTGCGTCACTTTCATTTGCTTGGAGGAGATCGTCTCTCAACTGAGAACCAGCTGATCTCAATACTAAATACTTTGAATGATGCAATGTTTCATCAGCCAGCCCAGCATACAGCATCCAGCATTTGTACTATTTATATATATCTCTTTATATATGTCTTTATATATTATGCTCTCTGTTATGATTGCTATTTAGTCTGTGTGCTGTTCTTTTTTTCTTTTTGGCTTTGCTTAAACAGCTGATGGATGGAAATGCCGAATGCTAATCAGGGCTAATAATTAGAGAAGATAATTCTGCAACAGCAGGAAGAGCTTATGTATCTCCTCTCCCTCTCTCTCTCTCTGTCTCTCAGTATATCTCTTTGTCTATCTCTCTCTGTACTTCCCCCCACATTTATCGCATTAATCAGCTCTCATATCTCACAATATCTGGGGCACTAGTTACACTAGTTACATTTGTCGGGCGGTACAAAGTCCATGGACTATTCACGCCATCGTTTATTAGTTTCATTGGTCGACTTGATCTGCTTCCATTGGTGACGTCACGCCTTTATATAATCTCATTTTTAGTCGGTCAGACGACAATTTTTTTTTTTTTGGAACTGCGCATTTTCGAGCGGCGCGTTTAGCTAATCAAATACCCTATGCATGTGTGTTGTGCTTGTATTTGTATATTAGAGTGTCGCCACAGTTGGTGTCATAAATAATACACATTTTGTGCATGTCACACCAATAAATGGGGCAACATACTTCTGAATAAAGAAGTTTCAGTTTAAATCCTGGAAGAAAATATATATATAAATACATATATTTATTAATCTTACAAGTCATTCCAATGCATAAGCGATTGAGCATTCATCTGTACTTTTTTATTTCTACTATAGGAGATAATGGAATTGCGATTATTTGCAGTGTAAACATCAATCGCTTGTGAGACGTGTGCTTTTGAGGTGATATTTAGTTTAAGTAAAGTAAATTGCAAAAGCTATTTGTAAGTGTTACTTATTCGTACTTGATAATTGGGTAATTGATAAAAAGAGGATTATCAAACTTGAGTAAACTTAATGGTGAAAGAATTCATTCAAACCTGATTCTAGCGAATCATTTAATATTCATAGAATGGAATAGAAGCTAAAAATACTTTAGTTTATTCATTATTTTATGCGATCTTTTTATGAAAAAATGATTCATGATTCATTTCATTCATGCATCAGTGTCAAAGGACTTCAGATAATGGAAATTGTGTTTCTTAACAGAGAGTTGCCTAAGTCATCAGTCGTATAACATAAATAGATTTGTTATAAACCAAAAGACATTTTCTTTGTCTGTATTGATACTCTTTAAATTGTCGATTAATATATAAAATTCGTGTTTTTTTTTTAATAATCAGATAATCGAGAAGGTTAATACATACAAAGGAAAGCATCAGACCTCCAAGCGAGAAAACTCTGTAGATCTAGATTCAGTCCATGCTCCCCTATATATTATTCTAATTTAAGTTTATATACTATTAAATTGCAATTAGTTGCCAATGTACACGATTTTGGGCAATAGCTCAAACTAACCTTCCATCATTGACGTTTATCGCAAGGCGCTAATTAATTAATGTTTGTTAATTCGTAGCGAATGAATTTTTAATAAATGCGTTTGTTGTTTCCATGTCGTTTTTATCAAATTGACAGCATTTATTGTGATTTTGCAGAGGCGGCTTTTCTGTTTTGTTTATCTTTTCACTTTTGCTGTTTTGCTAACTTCTTTGGCTTATTTGCATTCCAACTCTAGAAACCTTAAAACCCAGCCCAGATTAAATATTTACTATGGATTCAGCTGCAGCTGCTGCTCCTTTTTTGTCATCTCAAAGAAGGTTTTAGTTACGGTTTTATGGGGGCTCTTAATTTGTTTGTATTTATTTATTTAAGTTTTTTTTTTTTTTGTGGCATGACTTTGCTAATGATAAGAACTGACCATAGCCATAGCTAAACAGGGTATAGCCTTGCCTGTTGCTGCTGGTTTTTGTTTACTTTAAATTTGAATACTCAGACTTAGTCGCTATCAGCTTTGACACTTGTAGCTAATTATTTGCACCAGACTTTTCCATGGCAATTTGATGGATGCCACGCGCTTTAGAAGTCAACTGAAATTCAATTATTATCGCTTGATTAATCTGGGAAAGGAAATGCGAACTTGCGAATGGGATCAACATTATTAATACTGCTCGCATTTGGACTTGTTGGCTTTGCAAGTGCTGTTTTATTGTACTTACATCCAGATGCATTGTATGATCTATTAATTGAACAGTTGGTTTAGTGACATGTGCTTAAAGATACTCTGTGGAACTGAAAGATACAGTCTGATTAACCAAAAGATACTTTTGGTTACGTCTCTGAAAAGAAAATCTTTTCTTGGCATTCTTGTTTCACTATCATTAAATATCCTTCATACCCTTAATGTACTGGGTATGCTCTTTTTTGTGGGGATGCCACTGCAAATGCTTTCTGCTGTTCTTTTTTTGTTGTCATTGCTTTGCCAAATTTATTTTTGTGACATGTATTTATTTTTATTTCACATTTTTTTATTGAAATTTTCATGCGCCGCAAAAATGAATACGCAGAAAATTAGCAAGCGCGTGTTTTTTATATAAGTATATATATATATATAAGGGAAATTTATAGCGCTTTGACAACAGCTATCTGCATATGCCAGGGGTACATATATATATTCAACGTGGCATTTTTATTTTGGGATACTTGGCAACACAAATTGGGATTTATTCTTCTTCGAATTTTCAGCTGATAATAAGCACATAAATAAGAAAATTTCAAATGATGTTCGTCTTAATTCCTCGTTGGAGGGCTGGGCTATAATTTTGTCTTTGAGCAAGTTCATTAACTTCAGCTCCCCTCCCCCCTTAGACTTGGCCTTAGAGGCAGCCCAAATAAAACACACACACACATATGTATATGTATATACAAGAGAGACTAGTAAAGGGCAGCCCTAAACACAAACATTACGGGTAGCCCCGTCCACTTAATGTCGTCTTATCAGCTGGCCATCGGATTCGGCACTCAGAAGCAAACACTCGAAAACGAAACGAGTTTCTTAGCGCCAGTTTGAACCAGTTTGAACAACAAATTGATGACGACGTCGCGTGGCTCAAGTTGAATCGCGTAATAAGCTCAAAAATACCTTAGTTAATTTATTATTTTCAACGATTTATTGTGTGCCAAAGTGTTTTCAGGTTACATTTTTAAGACATCTTTATATGAGAGGAGGATTCGTGAAATTTCATTATTTTTCTTTAGTCACAATTGGAAGGGATACAGATATCTCATGTAAAACATATTAAAGCTCCAGTTCTATAAATAAAGTTGCCCATTGTTTTGTAGGTTCAACTGTTAGCTTATTATTTTGTAAGCTTGTTGATTTTTTTCCCCATTGCACCGATCAAAGGTTTTTCCACAGCTGCTTTGACGTCACAATGCTATTAATTAGAGAATACTCTTAACTGCACAATCAGCAAATAGCAACAGCAGCAGTTCCTGAATTGATTTTAAAAATATAAAATTGTATCATGTAATTTGCGAACGGAATTTCATCCTAAATATTAATCAATATATATATATATATTTTTTTTTTTTTGGTAAAAAAAAATCAAAGCAAATTTTTGTTAACCTATAACTAAACAACAAAATCAGTTTCTCAGAAACCCATTCCAAATGTATTCTGTGGAAATGATACTTTGAAAATATATACAAAATAAAACGAGTTCGCAGAAAAAAATATTGTAAATTTATTAGCTAGAAAAGATGCTCAAATAAAAATAATAATCATCCTGAGATAAATAATGCAACCTGCCTATTGTCGAAGAATCGCCTAGACACCAAAATATGCCACCAGGTTAACAAACTCCTCTAAATGTTGCCACACATTGAAATTTCCAGTGAAAACTGGTATTTGTTGTGCATAGTTTTTGTGGCAAGCGAATGAAAAACTTTTTTACCCACACCATGCCAGTAGTAAGCCACAAAGTTTTCTGTACATATTAAAGCTGATTAAGTTGGGGCATTGGTGTCTTCGGCAAACTTAACACTATAGTAAAAATATGCCACCCACTCAAGGCCAAGGTCAACAAACTGACCCACAAACTGCCCTAGAACCAGTTCACACTGGTACTTGTTAGTAAGTACTAGCGACAGTTTCTTCTTCTCCTTTTTTTTCTTTGTAATGTATATTAATGAGCTCTATATCAAAGTCCGAACGAACAACCAGAAGACGACTGTCTATCGATGTGTGTGTGTGCGTGTGTGTTTTGTGTGTGTTTGACAAACTGATAAGAACTGTATAACGTAGGAGTGAGAATGCCTGCATGTCTGTGTAGATTACATACATTATGTTGAAGGTAACACAACAAATACGTAAGCATTTACGCCTTACTTTGTCTATGCGGGTGTTCTGTAGAATATAAAGTCCGGGATGGCGCAGTTAATTTGCATTTATATATATCCGGTTTTATATATATTGCAATAATTCGAACACGTCATCGAAAATAATATTGGAACATGTGTTTATTTAAAAAAAAACTAACGAAAACTAACCCAACTCCCCTATTCATACATTTTTCTTATCTTATCGTTTCTTATCGATAGACTAGAATTATATGAAACCATAACAAAATTATTGCGAATGTTGTAAACAAACAATTAGCTGATAAGACATTATTAGTAATTGAATTTCCAATTGAAAGATGGGAATTTAAGACCTTTTTTAAGTTAACATAAATATTATCGAAATGTAATTAAAATCGGAAATTACGTATGTGAATTTCTCGTTTTTTTTATTTGTCAGCTATTTGTCATTAATATTATTGTGTTATTTGAATACGTATTATTATTATTGTTATTGTTTTTTTTTTTTTTTTTTTGATATGTGTCGTATTTCTATTTCTGTGGTGATATTTTTCTTTTTTTGCTGTGCTCACTGCTGGGGGGCTCGGCTAAGTAGCAAAATAGATTCCAATGCGAAACGTCAATAACAACAACAAAGCAACAACAACCAAAACAACAGCCTTGTTGTTATTGTTGACGTTTCATTCAGGTTGTCTAAGGTTATCATGCACAGAGTTCAGTCAGACATTGTCGCTGTGGCTTCAACAGCTGTCAATAGATTGCGCAAGTGTATGAAATGTATCTGACAGATACACCAACAACACCCACAAAAAGCTGTTGCTTTGTTGTCTTGCAAAAAAACAAAAAGGTTACTTGCGAAAAGGAAACCCGCTCAAAGAATTTATAATGGTAGACCAGTTAAAAACACGCCACCATACCAAAAGCGGCTATCAAAACAAAAGCCAAACAAGTCAACAGCTAAAAGCCAAAAAGATTTCAGTTTTCCGTTGCTGTTTCTGCTTTTTAGTGACCGGCGCTGTTGCCAGGCGCCCTCAAAAAAAACAAAGCCAGCACCAGAGAATACCAGCAGCGATTTGTTTTTATTTACGCACGCACACACACACACACACCACAGACTCACACACAGACAGATAAACCAGTCGGTCAACTGTAGCTTCGCTTTCCGATCTCTCCCTGCACCGCACACACTCACGCACACACACACACACACACATAGGCAGTCAGACACACAGAGAGACCTCAGTGGAACCAAAACAAAACACAAAAATACTATACAAGCGTGGGCGTATTGCTTCAAGTGGGGCGTGGCGGTAAGTCGACAACCAGACGCTGCTGATTACAAAAGCTAACAAAGAACGGAGCACAAAGCAAACAAAGCAAAATGTTTTTGATTTCTTGCAGCTTTTGTGTCCCCCTAAAAGAATGCAATGAATTATTTATGTTGCACAAAAAGTTGTAATTAACAATATGCCCAAAAGTATGCTACATTATTTTAAACTACATATGCTCGATATGAAATACTATCTCATACTTTGAGCCAGAATCACTTTTCCAACTTTAAATGTATTATTAATCTAGAGGTCAAACACTGCTTACAAAGCCCTGGTTTTTGAAAATATGATAGTTTTTGTCAAAGTTACGGTTGTGGACAGATTTTACCCGCTTCTAAATTTTTTGGTATACAAATCGGATCACTTTTGAGGAAGTTATGACTGGTAAGTTTTGACCCTCTAACAGATTTATTATGGTGGGCTTTTCACATGAAATTCCCTTGCAAAATATGTTCCAAAGCTATTCATAAGTCTATATTCAAACCATCGCTTACGAAAATCAGTTAAATTTCAACAGCCTTATGGCAGTTGGAAATATAATGTACTTAATTACGGCAACAGGGTTTTCTATCATTTAACAGCTATAAATTAATTTTAGTTAAAGCGCACAGCTATCAATAGATATTTGCTGCTATTCTTGTCAACTATAGCAACAGAAGTTGTACAAAAATAAATCAAATAAAACCGCTGCCTATTTTTAGGGGCAACAAAAAGTTTTCTGAGCAACAGAATAGCTTGAACGAGTTCATTGATAAAACATGCTACGGAAAAGGGGTGCTGAGGTGGGGTCGGCATGGGTTTGACAGCGTGCGTGAAAAATTGTTTATAAACACACAATGTGTGTAAACTTTTACAAAGCAGAGAGACAGGGAGAGAATGAGATAGAGAGAGAGAGACTATGAGAGAGGCAGAGAGAGAAAGAGAACTTAAGAACTGTTGTTGGTCGTCAATGTGCTGCTTCTTATTATTGTTATTGTGGTTTCTGTTTTTATTGTCGGTGCCCCAGTTGAGTGCATTGATCTGGGGACTATCTGCGACATTAACATTGATGCGTGCAATGTAGATGCTGTGCGTGTGTGATTGTGTGTTTTATATTGTATATGTGTGTGTGTGTGTGTATGTTAAGTGTAAGCTAAACATGGAAATTTCCTATTTTAAAATTAAAGAGCTCGTTCGAATTATACAGCTTGATCTTGAGGTAGGTTATTTTGTAAAATTGTTGTTTACATTAGTAATGCAAAATATAGCTTTTGTTTGCTAATGATAAGTCTGAGTTTATGGCTTGAACTCCATATTTATTTAGAAATAAACAATGATAAGTTATCTGATGAAATTTGGTAATAAAGAGAAGATGTAGGCAATTATTGCCAAAATCACAATTATTAGAATCAGCTCCCTTAAGCTTGATTCTAATAACAGTAAGTTCTGATTGCCTAGCGATGGCTTTAGTGTAAGCCAAATTAAGATGGCTGGTAAGTCAAGTAGGCTTAGTATTCGTATATTATATATATAAAAAATGTATTTGCAAAGTATGCTCAGAAACAAAATATTAGCTTCAGCTCCCTTAAGACAGAAAGCCAATAACAATAAGTTCTAATTCGCTAAAAACACATCAGTAAAAGCCACGTTAAGCTTACAGGTAAGCCAAGTAGGCCACACAATGCCAGTTCTTCCGGCCTCAACTCCAAATGATGGGCTCCCCAACCACAATCACTGACACTGACCCGCTTAATGCTCCATATATGTAAGTGTAAATGTATATATCTGTAGACATGTGGATATATGTTACAGTTAAAACTCACCCGTTGCGCAGCAATTGAACGCCTTTGAGCAGCATTTCCTCGTGTCTCTGATTGCCCTCCTGATTTTCCTCTGGCTGTTTTGTTGCCTTTCACTTTTCTTTGCCCGTTGCTCAGCTGTTTTTTTTTCGCTGGCTGCCAATTGAATTCAGGCGTTTAATGAATTTATTTCGTCTTCTTCTGCGTTGGCAGTCGCGTCTTTTATTTCCCTTTTTTAATCTTATCAAATTGCAAGTCTTAATGCGAATTTATATTTAAATGTGACTGCTGCACAAACTAATTGAAGTGCAGAGTACTTTAATACAGCTGCAGCTCCCTCTCTCACTCCACCTCGCTTTCTCCCTCTTCCTCTATCGCTCTTCGCGTGGCACTTGTTGCGCTTCAGTAAAAACAGCTGTTGCAAGTGTTGGTGCTGGTGCTGCTCTTGCTGCTGTTGCCGGTGGCACTTGTTGCTGCGTTCACCCAACAATCGAAACTGAAACTGTATGTGCGCTTAAGTAACAGATGTACTACAAATTATATTATTACGAGTACGAGAGTATTTTGTACACACACACTCACATTTGTCTTGATTCTCGCGCTCTTTCCTGTTTCTGCTTTTTATGCACAGCTGATAAGATAAGAGCCATGCCCACATTTGTCTGCCACGCTTGCTACGTGCCGCCCCCCACATGCGCTTTCGCTTTGTAGCGTGCCTCCTGTTGCTGCTGCGGCCACACGCCTGTTTTTTGGCCTGTATTACAACATCATTTGTGGGCCACACACAGTCCCTCTCTCTTTCTGGTCTAAGGCCAATTTAATTGCTTCCTTATCTGCCCCGAATTACGATTACGACATCATCCATCAGCTTAAGTCGAAACAGAAGCAACATAGGCAGCAGTTGCAGCTTATCGCACAGTTGTTTGAGGCATTGATTTATAAGATACCCTGTAGTAGCATGCAAAAACAATGGTTATCTTGCTATGCTTTTACCTTTGTAAATGGTCAACATTTAATTTATTTTCTTATCAATCGTTCAATTTCAAAATAGGCTTTTTATCATGTTACTCTCGTATCATACATCTATGTACACTGTCAAGAAAAACATTTCAAATTGGACTTTTAGAATCCACTTAAGAAATGATTTCACTCGCTTTGTATACTAAAATAGTTTACCTTTAATGTCAATGCCAGAACTGTCTTTATCTATATAAATCTATATATAGCTGTCACGTTTCCTTTCTAAATTGGTTCCCGGCACACATTGGCCAAATTGAAATGAAAATAAACTTGCCACAAGAAAAACTCTCACGCAATTCTGCCAAAATTAAATACAGAGCATCTGCTAGTCGTTAATTGATAGTAACAAGAATTTCACTTGTTTTGTCGTATGCCACACTTATCAATCGATCAATACTGCGAACAGTGCTATTATTTATATACCTCGCTTGCAAGGCGGCACTCTTCCAATGCCATTTATAATGTTGGTGTATTTTTGTTTATCAAATTTATACCAATATAACAGCACCAATATTGCCTGAGCTAAGGTCACACGAGCCGCACTTGCATAATGAGCTGTTAATTGAGATAGAGAGAGTTTATGAGAGTGAGACTGAGATAGTGAAAAAGAGAGAGAGAGAGAGAGAGGGACTTTTCCACCGATCAGGCAGCCGAAACTTGAACCCAGCGATAAGCCTAATCTGTGACAATATGTTTGTGACAAGCACATGAAAAAGAAAGCAGCTACATTGATTTGTTAACTAATTTTAACAGAACACTCAAAGGTAGCAAATGCATAAATTCCAAGCCCATTAAATAAAACTCTGCATACTCTTTCGGTTTTGCTCTTCGTCTTTGAACTTAACGCACTATTTCATTATATTTGTTGTATTTTAATAATAATTTACCTGCGTATATCATAATAATGTTTCACATAAGTTTTAAATACAATCAATCAATTTACACGAGTCCATTTTTCGCATATCATTATATATGTATATATATATATGTATGTATATATCGTTTAGTTCTCTTAAGCACTACGACAATAATAATTGATATACAATATATTTATAGTTTCGCATGTTTCGAATTTAAGGGAGTAGGTGTGAATAAACTATACACTTAAAATTGATTTTTTTTTGGTAACTATTTGGTTTCGTTAACGGTGTTCACTTCTTTCAATTGCGAGGATATGATGTGATGGGGTTTTTTTTTAAACTGTGGACTTCTTCTATGGAGCGTTATGTTTGGATAACACTTATGAGTACTTTCATTTATATTTAAATCTTTGAGTACGATTTGCTGCGTTCAACAGATTTCAGATATATATATAGATATATATATAGATATATATATATATATATGCTTGGCTATACTTATCATATACAAAACAACTGTTTGGCTTTCCATCTCCCTCTCTAACCCCTTTCGATTACGTTCGCTTCTTTGCTCTAGCTCTCCGTCTAAAAGCTTATCAACTAACCCAACTAACCAACGACCTGTGTATTCGCAAGGTACTTTCATCGAACTTTGGGGTGGGCAATTTCATTTTTAACCCACCCAGATACTATTTATAGAAAAGGAAAAGTTTTAATTTTTTTAATTGTTATTTTTGTCGAAAAATTATAAATAAAAATCTCAGTAAAAAGTTTTCTGCGCCTTCATCGAATTTGTCAAGTCGGCGGCCTACGTTTCCACATCTCGACGAGGCTCATATCATAAGTAGTTCTTTATTTATTTGGTTTACTATTTTTATGTCTTATTGTCTTTAACGTTTGCCGTTTACGAGTACTTCGAAATGTTCCATGTTCTTTTGATTACAGTTATCCGAAATTCCGAATTCCATTTGAGTTTATCTAAGTATGAGTGTGTTTTTGTGTCTGTGGATTGTTTATCAAAAAAAAACCTGTTGCAGTGCTTTGCGGAAACCGAATTTGGAAATAGGTTTAGGATTATGTTTAAGAACCTGCTCAAAGTGAACTTAGATAATGTTTTTTTTTTGGTTTGATCTGAGTTTACTGCCTTCTTAGAAACTATATTTATTTATAATTATTCATAAATTTTTTGCATTTGATGTAATTCTTCATCTTCTTGTTTGTAATAGAATTTTACAACCACTAAAACTATTCACAGCAGTTTTTTTTATTATTTTGGTTTTTTGTTTTCATTTTGAATATAAGAAAATAGTTTCAGTGTGTTTTTTTTTTGGTGAGTGTTAAAAAAAATGGTTTGAGAAACTGCACTTTATGTATGTGCAGAAAGTACTCAAATTATAATAATATGGGGTTATATAGAAGTGGCTGTATGTAAACAAAATAACAGTGTTGAAAAACGTAAAGAAAATCAGTTGGTTTACATTTTTGATGATTTTTGCTTAAGACTACAATACGAGGATATTATTTAGAATATCACACTTGTCATACTGTTTTTCTTCTTTTAACTTTTTATATTATTTTTTATCAATGTGTTTTTAATATTTTTGGTTTTTTAAAATGTAGATTTTTAACGTTTTCAATTTTCTTTAAATTTTTTGCAGTTAACAACTGAACTAGAATTTCTTTATTTAATATTTCAACTTTCTTAAAATTTTTCCATCTTATTCATATTACATTTTGAATTAATTCATATTATTATTACAATAATCTGCATTACAACATAATTATATTATTTATTTATTTTGTTATAGAGCTAAACTGAATAAATATTGGGTGTGATAAGTTCAACTTGAAAAACTGAATGCTACTAAGTAAATTAAATAATGAGTTAAACTCTTTGGAAATGCGTTATGTTAAAGGTTCCTTTTTTTTAGTGGCTTAAACTACAAAAAGCGTTTTGCAATCAAAGTTCTCATGGCTAGGCAGGGTTTAAAACTGGGTTATATAGTAGTATATATGTGTATAGTATGTGTATATATATATGGATTTTAAAGACACAAATACATTTGAATTGTGCTCAACAGTTAAAGCCTAAAAACAATTTTCAACTAAATTCTACAGCAACAGAAATTACAATTTTCATCAACTTTTCATCATCAAAACCCGTTTTTTAGTTCAATTGTAGCTCATTGTACATGGTTTAGTATGTGTGTGAGTGTTTTTGAGTATGTGAGTGTATGCGTATATTTTTAAATGTTTTCTTTTTTAACAATTTTTCGATTTACATATTTATAATTTTCTGAAAATTTCCTGTTATTATTTTTGCAAACTTTTTCCTTACCTTAAGTTTAAGTTTAAAGTATAATTATGTTAAAATACTTATTGTAAATATATAAATGATTTTGCGCTTCTTCGTTCGCAGCATCCGATTTCTTTATATATAGCATGTTGTTCTATATATAATTAGTTCTTTCCTTCCCTTAGGATTTGCTTACCCTTCTACCATTCTAGCATTGTAGCCCTCCTACACATCGTAGGCATCCTTTTTGTTGTAATTTTGCTTTCTGCTTGTTGGCACATTTAGATGATTGCCGCCCTGATTTTTGAGGGGCGTTGTTGCTGATGTCTTTGCTGTTTTTGCTGTTGTTGGTCGCATCATCATCATACGCATAGTCATGGGCTTGTCCTCCTCATCATCTTCGGAGAAATCGCTCTGGGTCTTCACATGACCACCCAACGCAGGTCCACTGAAATCATTCTCATCATTCTCATCGTCGTCCTGTGATTATCGTAAATAAAACAATGAATTAAAAATGCCAATGAAAAATTAAGTTAAGAAATTATATTTGTAAATAATAAAAAAATATATTTACATTAATAAATATTTATATGTTTTTAAATTATAATAAATATTAATCTTAATTTGTTAATTTATTAACACAAAAACTATGAACACGATGGTCGTATACTTGATAACATAAAGCTTTAAGCTGACAAAAAGCTCACTAGAAGCAACACTTAATAATATTAGACAACAGATGGCGCTGCATGCAGCGCTTGCGTCGGCAGTTTCTTTTAAGTACATAGAAACTTTATCAAAACTTGAAAAACAATTTCTTTAACGGTTTTTACGAACTCGGAACAACAGAAAATAAAAAAAAACTGGAGAACAACAAAGAAATGGAAAGTAAGAAATTGATTTAGTTAATTTTAGTACTAAATAATGTACTTTACCTTTTTGGAATGCATAACTGAACCGTCAATGGCCGAATTAAATGTTTCTTTTCGTTAGCCCCGAGGTTCGAAATAGTCCCTAAGCCTAAACATTGAGCTGTTTTCTAGATGAACGTTACTTGTCTAAAACTTGAGGTTATCATTTAGTTTATAAACATTACACTAAACTAATTTTGCTGGTAAATAATTGTGTAAACGTCTTGTTTTGTTTACGTTTTTAGTTTTCCTTGTTTATGTTCTTGTAAAGAAGGCGTTATCGAAGTTTATCGTTTATCGAACTTTAGTTATGAGATCTATGAGATACATTTAAATGGCATTGCGATTGTTTTTGCTAGTTAAGTTAGTTGCTGTGCGCTTTAAAAGTATTTATAGTATATATTACTTAATGGCGATTTCGGATCGGTTCGAATCGTTACGTAACGTTTTATGTGTGAGCTACTTTTGGTTTTGTTTGGTTCGGGGTTTTCTAGTCAGGCAGACGGCGCGTGAATTTTGTATCCTCACTGCATGTGTGTCAGGCGTTGCAACGGTATTAGTTTTTTTTTTTTTGGTTTTGTTTTGTTTTTTTTTTTTTTTTGGGAGGCTACTTTTTGAGTTAGTTAAGGTTAGGTAAGGTATTGTTTTTGTTGGATGCTTAAAACGTGTTTAGTTCTTTAGTTTCTAGTTCTGAATGAGCACAACACAAGAAATAGAGAGAGAAGAAATTAGAGAATTGTGTGATTAGCAGCTAGTTAATGAGGTGTGTGTGTTTTAGGATCGGGTTACGGGTAGATGGGTATCTTTCTGGTTTTCGGGACAACATAGAACTTACTTCAAAGTCTCCAATTGTGAAGCGTGTCGCCAATGAATCTTGCGGTGGCATATCCGGACTCAAATTCTGAACGACATTGACCGCAAAATGAGCGTGAAATATGTATTTTTGTTTTTTTGGTATAGTTTTGGTATTTTGTTGAAGCATTATTAATTAGATAGAGAAACAAGCGTAAATGTGTGGGGTGAATCATTAAGTGAGAGAAAGACACAATTAGTTACATATATAGAGAGAGAATCTTAGCTTAAGGGACGCTTCAATATATTTGAAACGTTAATAAACAAACACAACAAATGAAAGTAACAAGTACTATACAGAAAAAAAGAAGACTAAGTATTGGTCTAAACCAAATATAACTCACATCATCATCATTGTCAATCATTTCCTTGGTGGAGGCGGTCGTCTCATTGCGTCTAATGGAGCCCTGGTGTATGTCCAGATCCACCTTGAGGCACTGGAAGCTGCGCATGAGGAACACAATGGGCATGGGTAGCACACCAGCCATGATCATGGCCAAGGCAATGCCCATAACCCAATTCGGATACGACTTTTGCTCCACCACTCCCTATTCATAATATGATAAGAAATTAGTAAATGATATCGAACATGGCTTAGAGTAATGATCCTACCAAGTCGGCATTCCAGGCGCCATATGTGGGATTACGTATAACCATAAAGACGACAGAAGAGACCAATATGCAGACCATAATAACTGGGCCAATATAGCGCCAAGTCCACTGCCAGTAAAGGCCAGGTCTATAGCCCGTCATCTGATAGATATCCTCAGTAAAGCTGTGAAATTATTTGATTTATATTAATTAGTTTTATTAGCTTCTTTTCCAGGCATTACTTACCGCTCGTGTCCATAGATAAAGATAACTGCAATCATTTCCATTAGTGCAACAACAACCAAACCAATTGTACCGGCAAATGAATCAAACATCTTGAGCCAATATTCGCCGGCACCTGTGCAGAAGATGAAACCGACAATGAAGCAGAATAGACACACCACACCAGTGACATGTTGTTTCTTAACCCGCTTGATGATGTCTATATCGAACAATGTGCACAGCATCCCCTCAAGAATGCCAATCTGTGAGCCCAAGCCCAGCGACAATAACATGGTAAAGAATAGCACCGCCCAAAAAGGGGCGCCGGGCAGCTCAACGATGGCCTGCGTGAACACGATGAATGCCAGGCCAGTGCCCTCAGCGGCCTAACGTGCGTGATAGGGGGGAGAGAAGAGAGATAAAAGTCAGATAGGAATTCTAAGAAAGGAAAGGAAAAAATGTATACACACAAGAATGCCAGGAGATGGCCCAAATGTCTAAATATGAAAGTAGATATAAGGGTTCTCTCCTCAAACCCATATTAATATTTGTAATTATTTTATTTATACTCACATTGTCGAGCTCCTTGGACAGACTGCATTCACTGAGCTGCAGTGCAGTAAATTCACTTCCATTGATGCTATGCATGGCAGAATCGTATTCAACGCTGGTGACATTCTTGGAGGGCAGAATCGCATTCTTCACAAGTATATCCGTATTGCTATAAATAAATATTGGATGAGTTCAGCATTTGTTGAATAACCAGCTAGTATCGGTTGCAAACATTCATTTATCCAGACAATGGCCTCAATGCCTTGAGCAGACCCTCGACTTGAATGGGCCACGCAAATAGTTCAAGAGCAACTGTCAATAACTCAAGGGAGGGCTGATGGGGATACGGGGGTTGGACATTGCAGAAACCTATGCAGCGGCCATTAATTGAAACAAATTGATAGACAAGCAGACAAAGAGACGAACGCGTATCGATTGGCCTATCAATGAATAAACAACAAATCTAAAGATAGGCAAATGCCGCCGCCCAATGCCGGTTACAACTGGTTGATGGACTAGCTGACTGGCTAACTGACAGAATGATAGACTGACCAACTGACCGACTGATTGACTAACTGATTGACCCACCATTCATCGAGCTGGTCGCTGACGAATGTGGCTGAACTTGCCGAATGACCCAAAAAGCCTTTGACACCAAACCCCAAAAATTAACCAAAGATGGAGACTGGCTTGAGACGAGGGAACTCGACTAGCAGTTACCCTGCATTCAGATTGTTAACGGTCTATACCAAGCCATTTCGTATATCCTGCTTAAAATTAACATAATTTCTTGAATTAATGTAAATTTCTTCCTTATTTCTGGTAGGTTTTGAATGGTCTTCAAGTATATATACAAAGCGGATGTTTTGATTAAATAGAAACCTGAACTCATCACTCACATATCAGAGACTTTAAGATATTATCACTTTGACATCAGAGACTTTAAGAGCTGTCTGTTATCATAGACTATAAGGGCTACACACGACACACTATTGATACTGGTTGGGTTGGACATCTCTAGCCGTTTTTGACTTGAGTACAGGGTATTTGAGGGGAATAACTCACACGGCAACACAGCGATCCACGTTGACGGTGGCCTTGAAGCCGAGAATGGCAAAGATGACGACACTGGCATAGATGGCTGTGACGGCATTGCACACCGACACCAAAAGCACATCCCGGACGCAATTGTTCTTTGGCGTGTTGTAACTGCCGAAGGCGATCAATGAGCCAAAGGCCAGACCAAAGGAGTAAAAGACCTGAGTGGCTGCATCCAGCCAGACCGTCGGCTCCAGCAACTTCTCCACCTTCGGCGTATACATGTGCATCAGTCCGGCGCCGGCGCCTCGCAGTGTTATGCCCCGTATGAAGAAGATGGTCAGCACGATGTAGGGGAAGAGTGAGGTGAAGTAGACCACCTTGCCGGAACTCTGGATGCCCTTCATCACAATGAAGAAGACAATGGTCCACGAGAGCAGCAGGCACAGCACAATCCACCATTTAAAGCCACCCGGCTCATCCATCGAGGGTGCCGCATCCAAAGTGGTGCGATACCAGAAATATGTCGTCTCCGACGACTTGGCGCACTCCTCCAGAATAATGCCACTACCATTGGTCGGACAGGTGGACCAGGGCAGCGGATACTAAATAAAATAATAACAGATTAGTTTGGGAATAATGCTATTCCCATTGCTCAACTCACCCGAAAACTGTTGAATAGATAGAAGAAGACCCACGTGATAATCACGTTGTAGTAGAGAGCCACAAAGAGGGTGACAATGCACGAGGAGATGCCAATGCCGCCCAGCCAGGGATGTATGGTGTTCCACACACCCAAAGCACCCAGACGCATACGCTGGCCCATGCCCAGCTCAATGAGAAACAGCGGTATGCCCTCCAGTATCAGCATTATCATGAAGGGTATCAGAAATGCACCTGCAAAAGCAAAATGGAAATCCCAAATAGCCAACGTAATCTTTATTATAAGCGTATCTACACTTCGGTTTCCTTAGGGGCGGCTTCTTTTATTTTTGTCTCGTTCGTTCGTAATTGAATTAGAATCGCATGGGATTTAAGCTTGGAATGTGTCTTTCAATAAAAATGCGGCGTTTGGCACGAGGCGCACAGCCCAACTCAACCCAACCCAACCCAATCCAGCCCCCAACAAAAAGGCCCCCCTCCAATTAAGCTCTTCCGGCAGGCTGGCAAGTCATGTGCAAACAACCCTTTCCCCTCCAACTGTCGCCGTCAACAAATCCCCACATGACAAATTCACCCAATGTAAGCTATGCAATTAGCTCACATTAAATCTCATAATGTTGTTGTCAAAGCAGCGCATTTGATTATCTACGACAGACACTTGATATCGGTTGAATTGGTTCGAATATGCTTAGCAACAGGAGCGCACCTCTAATGAGAATAACATTGAAAAGAAGCGCTGGCTAAATTGGTCTATGGACTTTATACTTGAACTTTGACTACCAAACCTGCTTTGAACTTTAAATGTAGTCTTAATCATGATATAAAAATAAAGGATTGGTTATTAGAAACTTATGGTTTTTAGAATGATTTGATCCCTCCCTATTTTTGGAATAGAATTTGAACATGAAAATTGTGTCAGAATCATGTTTACTACTTTAAATATAATATTAATCTAGATTAAAAATGATTATGAAATCTGGTTACTACTGACCAAGTTTTGGCCCTTTACAAAATATTGCGCCCAGCTGTTGAACGCCTTAATCCAGCCCTGGCAGAGACTGCACCCATTAGCAGTATGAGCAAGAGCATTAGAAGTAATTAGATTTTTCAACGTCGCACTGCAGGTTGATTGTAATTAGAACTGGTCGGGTAAAACGGTGTGTTTTGGCTTTGCAGCACGCGTATGCGAAATAAAAAAAGTGCAACATATTGCAAATTTTTGGTCGAACGTCGACTGTTACTGGAGACAGTCGGGTGAACTGATAAGCCCGTGAATGTGATATGGTTAAATATCGTGGTGTATACTCACCGCCACCGTTCTGTTGGCACAGGTACGGAAAACGCCAGATGTTGCCAAGGCCCACCGAATAGCCGATAATGCTGAGAAAGAACTGCATCTTGCCGCTCCAGGCGGCACGATCCGGTTCCCCTGGTATATCCACCGATTGCACCGAGTTGCGTTGCGGTGCCGTCAGGACAATGGTCACCCCATGAGTGCCATCACCCCTGGCCCTCGTGTTCAGGGGCGCCATCTCGTGACCGTTTCGCGGTGCATCAATAATTTTTGTGGCTGCCATCAACGCTGGGAGTTAACTGACTACGATTTCCTTTCCAACGAGCCGTTTTCTATGTAAAAGCCAAAGTGGTTGGATTAGCTTTTCTCAAGTTGCAGTAAATTTCCATTGCCATAAAATAGGAATGAGTGTGTGTGTGTGTGTGTGACTGAGTCAGTGTATTCAGTCTCTGCAGAATTTGTATGCCACATGACATATGGCAAAACTGAGTACTCGCTGTTGCATGTACTCAATCTAGAGCTCAGTTTCAAACATACTTATTATACCCTGCACTAATTAAAGGAATAGCAGTGGTGTATTATGGCGTGGTGTATGTGTTTGCAACAGACAGCTGCAAAATTGCACTTATAAAATTATCTGTCTGGCATAGCACGGCTATTGTGGCCTTCAATAATATTAATAAATAGCATTCTTGTGTTGCACATCAACCCAAATGCGTCAGCTTACTGAAATTTATTGTTTATTTTTCTAATATACAATAATCATTTCAGGTTTAATATTAACGTATGTAGTAAAGTAGTAAAAATACATTCCTGATGCACATGAATAGATTTACTCTAGCATTGTTGACTTTATTTTTTATTTTTCTAACATTTGATAATACTTTCACAATATTTGCTAGGTTTATTTACAGGTTTTAACATAGTCAGGTAATATTTACCTACCTAATCGCTCAGTTAGTTATTTTAGTGTGCAGTATAGTTTACTTAATGTATTCTAGCTATTTCCCTCTCTCTCGCTGACTCCCTCTCTCTCTCTCTATCTATCTCTCTCTCACTCACACACACACACTCAGCATGAAACTCTTTGAGGACACTCGGGCTGTTTGATCAATAACTAGAGCTCTGTAAGTGTGTGTGTGTGAGTGTCGGTTCCTTGGTGGGTTACCCCTGAGATTATAAATATGTAAATCTGTAATAGTTTGCCATTTTTGTGGCTACTTCGTCCTTGGGCTGTGCTTTCAAGTGATTATTTTGCGCGTGGGTGACTTCGTCCTTAACTCAATTTGCGACTTAATTGCGTGTCATTAGAAAGCTTCGTGCTTTGTACTTAACATTATTAAGTTAGTTGTGGCTTGCTTGCCTAAAGTAATTATGACTTTTATGTGCACAAAATTAAGGCCAGTGACTTAACACACAAAAAACAGCTTCCGATCATAAAATAAATGTTGTTACATTATGTATATATATGTCATGACCATTTCTCAGTGGGAGTAAGTGTTATTTTTATAATCTGTATACGCATTCAAAGTCATACAGCTTACATTTCCCCCAAGAAAAGTTCAGGTACCCTTTTTTATAGTATAGCTAAATGTCAACAGCTTTTGTCCATGGCTTGTAAAGTGAAAAGGTCACAGCTAATTAAACTGCATACATAGACAAACTATATATATTTAGATATATATGTGTATATATAGAAGCACATATGTTTGTGGGTGTGTTAACAACCCCAAAGCTAGCTGCAACAGTTTTACAATCACTGTCTAACTGACTAAGTTGACGTCTGCTTCTAAAACTGCAGTCAATAATAAACGTGTTGCTTAGTGTTGAGTAACCCCCAAAAAACCATATCTATGGCAGAAGGTCGTTGCAAGGCAGCCAAAAGGCACACAAAACACACAAATACATATGCACATGTACATATGTATGTGGGTATATATGTAAATGTATATATGTGTGTATATAGCCTAGCGTGTCTATGTATTGTGTGCTATTTACTTGGAGGCTCGTCTCGCCTGCTGACGTAGTAAAATGTCGACACACGGAAGCTACAATGCACAAACAAGGAGAGAGAGAGAGAGATAAAAGGGTATAAAGAGAGAGAGAGAAAGCAGAGAGTGAGAGAGCAGACATAGTGAGTGGGTGGGTGTGTGTGGCAGCAGCTGTGCAGCAAGAAGCAGCAGCAGCAGCTGCACACGCAAAACTCACCACAAAGATAGCACAACAACAAGAGAAAGGGCGAGAGAGAGAGAGAGACAGAGATGGAGCGAGAGAGAGAAAGAGCGTGAAAGCTGGCCAAAAAAAGAGCTTTTCTTCTTTTTGGCATCCTGCTGCTGTGGCAGTCGCTTCATTGATAGGAAAATGCGCCTAGACGCGCTGTGGTCTGTATACAACACACACACACTCTCTTTATGTGTGTATGTGTGTGTTTGTGTGGGTGAACATTGCGTATACGTAATGCGCTATGACGTCTTTGGCTGCCCAACCAACGGCAATTGCGTATTTAGTTCAATTTCCAGGGGGGTCATCATATGTCAACGAGGAACATTAATCGCAATTGTTCATTGTGAACTAATAAAAAGCAAAAGGAGCCGGCAATAATAAAAGTAAAAGTCAAGTGTCTTGTGTCCTGTGTACTGTGTCCTGTTCTCGACCAGCCCCACTCCTCCGACCAACACCCTTGACCCAGTCATGTTGTTCGCATTGCTTTTCTTTTCTTTTTTTTTTGTTCTTGTTGCCGTTTTGCGTTTTCTATATTTCTTTTTGCTTTCACTCGACATTGATTACACAATCCCATTTGTGTTACGTAAACTGAGCGTCCTGAGCTCTGAGCTACTGTTTTTGTTGTTGTTTAACACTGATTTTTGCGTCGCAATTTGTTGTTTACTTAAAGTCACCTCTGCAGCTGTATCACCAGACGCCCCTCTACCTCCTTTTAACCAGCCTTTTAACCACCCTTTTAACCCCTAACCTCATCGTTTTGCCTTGCCGGCTTTTTGCTAAATAAAGCTCAAGCTGTCAACGTTGTATTTTTTTCAACTTATTTTTGCTTTTGCAGGACACGTCTGGCCCTGGCCATGTCAGCTCCTATGTTGGTGTGTTTGTGTGTTTTTTTGGTGGCTAAGTGGTCTACAACACAATACTTAAATCATTTTTATGGGAAATTACTCAATAATAGCCTGTCCGTCGAACAAAAGGCCAAGTGCTATGTGTTTTTGTTGTGTACATGACAGCCTTGTCGTTAAAAATAACCTAAAGCTTAGCTATACAATTAGCCATATCCACATTTATCTAGATATACTCTATCTATATCTATATCTATATCTATATCTATATCGTCCTTGTCCGTTACGTAACAGCAAAGCGCACTGCAAACAGCGAAATTTCATCAGCTGAAAAACGAAACTTTTTTTGTTACCTGACACAAAAATACATTTGAAATGAATGGAAATATACCAGGCGAATACTCCCCAAAACCGACGCTACCTTCATATGTATACCTATCGCACACACACACACATGCAGATGTGTACACGTGCTGGTTAAAAAGCTTGTCGCTTGTGCATTTGTATTAGTGTCGTTTTCGGTTCAACTTAAAATTCACCGAATATAAAGGACAATACGAAATTGCGTCGTGCCAAATTGTATTCAAAACAACCGAATGAGCACTCTGGGTACAAGCATGCTCGACTTGCAGTTGCCCTGTACAAATTTATAGATGAGATAGCAAACGGCCTGCAGTTAATGCCTGATACTATTTCATTTTGGTTATGTGCTCATATACAAAATTTGACTTTGAAGAAAGTTTAGTTTTAAATCTGACTACTAATTTACTTTTAATATTACTGTTTTCTTTTTAATTCACAAGCTAATTTCAATTGGTGAGTTGAGTTACATTTTTAAGATGTGTCTAATTATTTTTATGTATCTATTTACCTATAAAATTACCTTTTATCATATAACAATACAAGACTATTGGATCCCACAAATAACTGCCAGATACCAGATACTAGATACCCTAATTTTCACTTAAGCTTACGAATACAGAGTATATCAGGTTGAACCCCCTGTCAGCCTGACAAGCCCAAGGGTCGCGAAGGGTTTCCTTTAAAGCTGTTACTGCTACCGCTAACTCTGGCAAAGTTTAAATCCCATCAACACACACACGCACACACTCACACACACATTGACACAAGAAAGGGTCGATGGATATGGCACCCAGGGGACACAAGGTCTGGGAGAGAGACTAAGAGCATTTGACATGGCGTGTTTGTCAGGCCAAATCGATAAGCGAATCGTGGTAGCCTATTCAAATATGTAATGTGACCTGATACGGGCGGAACTAAAGAGAGGCATTGGGGGTGTGGATGGTAGGGGGGCGGTCTGCATTTGCTACTCTGCATAAATCATGCAGTTTGATTGCTTATGAAATGCATTCAATTCAATTCATGCAATCGGTTTGTACGTTTTATTGCACTTTTCCGAGAATATCGAACACAGTCGCCGCGCTTGTAAACATCGAATGCCAAATGGGGTCTTTTTCGTATTACAAAGTTTTAATCGTTGCATTTATTTTCCACTTTTATTTTTATTTTTTTTTGCTGCATTTTGCAAAGCTTATTTTAGTTCGGCACATATATTTGGGTATTTGAAATGCTCGATTTAGCTTTGCCCGTGCATTACTTATTTTCCATTCGGCCTTTGCTCTCATCCAAAGTATTTTGCTATTTGCGTATATTTCTCTGGGCCTAACAATAAATGCAAGTTCTTTGCCAAGGCAGAAATGGCGCCGAAAATCTATGCAATAAGTGAAATTCAAGTGCAGCAAACGTTTACGCCTTCTGCTCTACCTTTCTCTCTTTCTCTTTCTCTCTCTCTCTCTCTCTCTCTCTCTCTCTCTATCTCTCTCTCTCTCTCTCTCTCTCTCTCTCTCTCTCTCTATCTCTCTATCTGTGTCTGTTTGGCCTTGATTGCGTCAAGTTAGAACCAAATGGACTTGACTTCCTGGGAAATCTGTGTTAGACTCAATAATTGCAAGAGTCGAACTGAACTGAACTGGACTGGACTGGTTGGAGGCACTTGAAGCCAGTTGAATCTGCTTTAACTGATTTCAGCTTTAACTGCACCGTGCACTGTTTTTGTGTTTCATCGGGCATTGGTTACGCATCCCTTACTTAAATTCAAAACTTATGTAAGCACACAATGCAGGTAATCCGATCCAACAGCCTAGCGATAGAATTATGGAAAGTTTTTGTAGAGTGTCAGTAAAAACATACGATTAATATCGTAAGACACTCGTCTAGATAATTCTAGAGTTCTAATCTCGAATTTAGAGCAGTGGTATACGTGGATATATTTGATAAATAACATAGCTCAGGTGTTCCCCTTTCTGCATTCGCATTCCACAAATTATTAGACTTTGTTTCTATGGAAACCAATGATTATACCCCTCTAGAATGCAGTTGATATATCACATTTATATATATATATATCTATTTGTATACCATAAGTGCTCATTACGAGTACCTTGAAAGTATTACTAATAAGCTCTGATTTTACTTAGGGGCAACTATATAAAGATAACAACAATTGTTCAGGTCGACAGTTGCACTTGCAAATGCATACAAAAAAGACGAACGAAAACTATTGCGTTATATAGAGTATCTCAACGATATATACTCGTATATATGTATATATTAGGCAATAGCACTTTCGCTCTCACTCTAACCCAGGCGGAGGGAGGGAGAAAGCAAGAAAATTGTCATTTGCCATGGTCAAAATGCAATCAGGCAAGCACAAAGTTCACTTAGCTCGTTTTGCAAAGGGTATTTTGACTTTTGGGACGAAGTATCTCTCTCAGTTGCAGATAGAGTAAGAGATTAGAGATATAGTTATCTTATTATCAATTTAAAAATATATTTATATTATATATAGTACAAATACTACTTTTATTTAAGTGGGACCAGCAAGGGTATGTAAAGTTCGGCATGCCAAAGATAACAGTTCCATTCTGTATTTTTTGGCAACGTATCAACTGTTGGGTTCTTGGGCTGCTGTGTATCTAATTCCAAGTAGAAGGGGATTGGGGGAGCTGCATTGGGGTGTGAGCTTTTGGGTATTAGGTTTTTCTTCTACTTTTGGCCAGAACAACCCCCAGCCAATGCCATTGCCAGCCTCAATGCAATTTCCCTTCACCACACAAGAAAGATGAGAGCGTTACAGAGATAGGGAGAGAGAGAGAGAGAGAGAGAGAGACAGAGAGAGAGCGAAAGAGAGAAAGAGAAAGAAAACAGAGAAAGCGAGTGGGAGGAAGCGAGCGAGAGAGAGAGAGAGACAGAGAGAGCGAGAGCGGGCATAAAAAGCTTGTAGAAAAAGCAACTGAAAGTGCTTTCAAAAATATTTGAAATGCACATATATACAAATATTATATTTGGTATATAGCATTTTCCATACCTCAAAACTGTTTATGTTTATGGGTTATGCAAAATTCAATCAGATGATTTGCTCAAAATTACATAAAGATGATATTGGTAGTCTAAACAAAAAACTAGTTCTTGTAACAAACAATACACGTGGTGCATTAATTAGTTGCATTTTTATTTATTTATTTTTTTTGTTTGTTTCGAATTATCGAATAAATAAGAAAATAAAACAAAAACAAATTTGCAAATTATGCAAATAATTTGCTGATTGTTGATCTTAATTTTCGCATTTATTTTGTTTAGCCCAAAAAAATGCTAAGACAGACAAAAGACAAAAAAACTAAAAAGAAGTTCTCAGAACACTCGGCTAAAACAAAAACACGTGCATCCTTGTGGCCCATGTGTGTGTGTGTGTGTTTCCTTGCATGTGCTGCGTGCGCAGGACACGTCAGGATAAAAGTTCTTTTGCGCTATTCTATTTCATCTTTCTTTCATTCGTGTTTTTTTTTTTTTTTTTTTGGTCGTACCAAACTTTGAGTTGGTTTAGCTTCTTTTAATTTAAGGGCGGATTTTTTCCGCACAGCCCGCGGTTTTGTTCTCCTCGTATGCTTTAACTTGTGGAATTTCTAGCACTCACTCACACTCACACACAAATTCGCATATATTTTTGTTTGACGAACAAATTTGCGTTAAATTTTCCACACTTTTTTTTGTAATTTTTTTTTAATTTGATTTTTGTAATTTTCGCGGAGCTTTGCTGAATTTTGACGACCGTCGCTTTGTGCTTTCCGTTGTAAACTGAGTTCAGTCGCTTAACGCCGAGCACCGAAAATGCTGCAAATGCTATTTCATTCAACAGCAGCAACGACGACGATGGCTTTTTACATTCGATTGCGTTTCTTTCATTCGATAGAACGAGGCAACGAGGCGAGCAACTTGCACCGGTGCGCTGCCTGTGTGTGGTGAGGTGAAAAGTGTACAACAAATTCACCACCACCACCACCAAACTTGGAATTGACGCACTTCGGCGTCAAGAGCCGAATGTCCTTTCGACTCCTGCATAGACATTTTCGGTGCTGCTGAAATACCAAGCGAGTAATTTATTATTTTGGATGGAATAACAAAATTCTCAAAAGAAGAAGAAAAGCATGCGCACAAAAGTAGCAGCAGGATTGAAAAGCGGGGGTTCAAAGCTGCCGGAATGCCGTCAAAGAGAGTGTAAGAGAGGGAGGGAGAGAGAGAGTGAGACAGAGAGAGAATGAGGGTATGAGGGTATGAGTTGGTAAGCTAAGAAAACTAATATTTAAGACTTCATCTGATAACTTGTAATTATGAACTTTTAATGCATAAGACGTGCAGGGCATTAATGAAAAAATATCCGCCCAGCTTGACAGTTATGTAGAGGAGATTTTGTGTGGTATAGTGTTTAAATGTATTTCAGCGATAAGAACGAATTTCAAATTAAAATGTAGCATTGATCTAGATATCGAAACAGAATTAAAAAGTTATTTCTGTTCAAAATTGCAACATTCTCTGCAAGATAACCGTTGAAAGTTGTGCTTGAAATTATATTTAAATAGCGCGCCCTTTGCCAAAGCAAGCAGTTTACAAACACTGCTGTTAAAAGCAGTGCATGCACATGCTGCAATGTGAACGCTCACAGCGAATGCCAAAGCCTCGTAACATAACCTCAACAGTCTGCCAAAGCAAGCAGTCTCATAACTCTGTTAATAGCAGTGCAGATACATGTTTCAGGTTCAACCCGGTAGATGGCGAGTGTGCTAAACGTGTGCCCTCGCTGTGAGTGCCAATAGGCCGTTTCGCTGCGACTGTCACAGATAGTTGTTGTTGTCAGGCGCAAAATTTTTGTCTCAATCGATTTTTTTTTTTTGTGATATATTTTAGGCAATTCGAAGTTGAAGCATTTAACACACTGCAACAAAAAGCGAACAACGAAAATGGAGACGTAAGTAGCGTAGAATAGAGAGTATTATGCCTGTTTTGCGAGCCTTTAATTTGCTTTGCTGCTGCACAGTTTGCTGGATGAGGAATTGGAGTCGCTGGAAGCGATTCTCATGGACGATGTGCGTATAATGCGCAGCGACAGGTGAGATCGGGCCTGAATTGATATATATCTACACATATATATATATATTTTTTGTGGTATATATTAGTGGTGCTGTGGATGTGATTGAGACGACGGTGCTGCCGCTGACCGGCGAGGAGGATGAGCAGCGATATATTTGTGTGACTCTCCAAGTGCTGCCACCGCCTGGTTACCCGGATGTGAGTCCCACATTCAAATTGCTGCGTCCACGTGGATTGGACGATGTCCGTCTCGAGGCCATACGCAGTGCATGCAATGCCAAGATCAAGTCATCAATTGGATTCCCCGTCGTCTTCGATCTGATCGAAGTGGTGCGCGAACATTTAACGGGCAGCAATCTGCCCAGTGGCCAGTGCGTGATCTGTCTGTACGGATTTAGTGAGGGGGATGAGTTCACGCGCACCGAGTGCTATCATTATTTGCACAGCTATTGCCTGGCAAGGCATTTGAATGCGCTGCGTCGCAGCTACCAGGAGGAGTACGACAAGTTGCCCGGCTGGCTACAGAAAACAGCGGATGCTTTCCAGGCTCTGTGTCCCGTTTGTCGGGAGCATATCTGCGATGAATCGGACAGTCTGAAGTGCGCCATGCCCCCATCGGAGCTGGAGAATGCACCCGATTTCCAGGTCACACAGGAGCTGCGACAAATGCAGCAGAGGATGTCTGAATTGTATCTACAGCAGAAGAGTCGCGGCGCCATCATCGATGCCGAGGCGGAAGCTGGCCATGTGATTGCCATCGAGACCGAGGAGGATGTGCGTCGGCGACGACGTCGCGAGGAGGCAGATGCTGCTCGGAAACAAGAGCCAGGGGCGAGCAGCTCAAGCAATCAACTGACAAAGCCACAAGCAGTGAGCACATTTGCGCCAGTCGTGCAGGAGACGCAACGCATCCTGCCCGAGCCCACCAACAACAACTATCAGCATCACAATCGAAGGCATTATCGAGGCGGGCGACGTCATCATCATCATCACAGCAATCACCATCATCATCAACGTGGGGAACGAGCAGCAGAAGCGCACAGCTCAACTGGGGGAGGAGGAGGAACTGGCACAGGAGGTGGAGCTGGGGCAGGAGGAACAGCTGCAACTGGGAGTGGAGCAGCTGGCTCTGGCGCGGGAAAACAGCCAAAGGGACAAACTGCCAATAGCAATCATGCCAGGTGACACTGGCGCAGCACCAGGCTGCTGCGGCTAACACTTCCAATTAACAACCACAAAAAGAACTACAAAAATAACATTAATAAAAACGCAGCCCTGACGCTAACAATGCCAACAATGCCCAAGCTTCCTTGCCTGCTGCTCCCACAGCTACTGCCTCTGCCCTGCTGCTAATATACAACAAAAAAAAAGACAAAAACAACACACAAAAAAACAGATGAACTCAACTCCAACTCTGGAAAACCCGATCCTCAATTTTAGTTTCATTTATTATTATTTTTTGTTTGTGCAACACTCGATTTCTGTGAATTTTGTGATTCGATTGATATTTCTTTAGTTTAGCTTTAGAGTGAATCGGGTTTTAGCGAATTTTTCAACGAATACAGTGCAGTTCACAAGCTTAGACACACTTGGACATTTAAATTTTACTTTCTTCTTTCATAAATAATTCAGTTACCGTTTTAGTTAGTTTAAATTTAGTTAGTTTAAATTTATAAAATTAAACAACTTTTTAGTTTAAATTTATACATTTAAGCATTTTGTTTCGTTTAAATTTATGCTTGATTGCTTGTGAATTGCACTGTATATTGTATAAGTAATAATAATCTATGTATGTTAGCCTTATGTTTATTATTATTATTATTATTATTATTGTGTAACGATGATGTAACTATTTTTGTATTTGTAATGGCATACAAAAGACTTGTGGCAAATGAATTGCCGGCGATATTATTGGTTAGGCGAAGAAGTATAGGGAAAAAAGGCGTTTGATTAACTAACTCTAGATTTGTATTTAGCAGCACCAACTAACTTGGCAGCGCTGGCGTTGACGTACACACACACACACACACACACACACACACTAATACACACACTCGGATATTTAGTATAACGCATAATCTGCAATTCGCACTTGAAAGTTTAGCATAAATGTTTAAATCGTATCTCTCACTCTACCCGCTCTCTCCCTCTCTTCTCTTCTTGCGTGACAGCAAATAGCACAAAAACAAAAACATGACACGAAAATTATTCCAAATAAACAAAAAGAAAAACATAAATAAAAGACTAACTTAAGGCACAATAATTAGAGTTTGTGGAACGTGCGCCATTCTAGTCAGTTTTTCATATGACAGAGCCGAATTAACAAATAAACAACTATATATACATACATACACATCTCTATATATGTATGCATTCACATATTTAAATGTCTAACTAATTCAATGTTTGTGTAGAAAGAAAATAAAACAAAACAACTCCAGCAATTCGTTTGAATCTGCATAAAATATTAACTACGAATACCAAATTTCAATGTGTCAAAAAAACAATAACTGAAAACTTAAATTAATAAATTGAATTCCATAATAAAAACATACGAAACTGTTATTACTCCAGAAATCGAAGCATATTTTTATCAACAAATGGGCTAGGTGGTATATGTATTTATATATAGATATAAAGAATTTTAAATTTAATAAGCTTAGCTAAGTTTCGAACCCCCGCTGCTCCAAACATATTCATTGGGTTTGACAAGCTCTAGCCAATGCACAAGCCAAAGGAATGCTGCCAGCATATGGTAGCCCTAAAACTGTGTAGTGCTTCTATATACATATCTATCTTTTAATAAAAACACAGATCGTATTTTGTTATTAAAATTTTTGTTTGTAAATGTTTATTTCTCGTTTAAATTGTTTTAATTTAATAGAATTACAAAAAACGTTGAATGCATTTCTCTTGATTCGTATAACAAAATAATTTAGTATTAGTATTATACAATATTTATATAAACGTTTTGCATTTCTCTCTATTATATTAGTTTATATGTTCCACTTGCATATAAAAAACAAAAATAATTATGCATTACAAATTGTGTGTTTGTGGTTTTTGCTTATTAACTAAATATTAATTAAACTTATAATAATGACTTTTAGTATATAATTAAATATTTTTTGTTTTCTTTCTTTCTTTTTTTGTTTTTTTTTATTTATTTATTTTTTTTTGTTGCGGCTTACATGATTCACTTTTACGTTTAACTATTAGTTTTAACAGAACAAAATCAAATTTCTCTTAATCATTTTCATTAACGGGGTTACTTCTTCCTTTTTTTGGTCGCACACATAGCACGGCCACGCCCACAGACAGAGTGCGTCCACAAACTGGCGATTTTGTAGACACGCTCAAAGACTGAAGAGCTAATGGTCGCTGCTGTGGCAACTTTTAATTCGAATGTTTTTCTTTTCTTTTTTGTTTTCTTTTTTTTGTTTATTTATTTTTTTTGTTTATAGTTTTTCGTTAATTTTTTCTTCATTTTAGATTGCCTTAAAGCACTTGGAGTGTATTTTGCATTTATATAAGTATATACAAATTATAAATTTGGAAATCCATATTTAGAAGTATAACTAGTAAATAGTGTAGGCATTAAATATTAGTAGTAGCAAAAGGTGTTTGCATTAGTTAGTAGTACTCTTTTCGTAAATAGTTTTTCAACATTGTGTGTGGGTATGTGTGTGTGTGTGTGTGAATAGCTTTCATTTATAACTTTTGCATTTCTCTATCTCTTTTTCTTTATGTTTTGCGTGTGTCTTTTATGCTTTATCAAACGTATTCATTTTGCTGTTATTATTATAAAATTCACAGCGATTGTTTCCTGTTTGCTACATTCTCAACAATAATGTAGACTCTGAGAGAGATAGAGCTGAGGGGATTTTGGGGAATTCACAATCTTGGTTGGTTGATTAGTTGAAAGAACTTCAGTGCGTGGTTAGTTGTTTTAGATTTGTGTTTTTGTGTTGTTTGTTTAATTGATAATTGGCAACTGGGTGCTGCAACCGCAATTCATTCATCCGCCTCATAGCCGGAAAGGTTCGCGCTTCTCTGTGGGCGTGGTTCCACGCGATGTGCGTCGCATCGTTGAGCTGAATGTCGGCTCCGCGGAGCTCTTTCTCGGCGTTTGCATCCCGGACGGCGTTGAACTGCCGCTGATGTTGCGCCTGTCGAACGGATAATCAAATATTAGTCAAGGCATTTATAATATTTCAATAATTTAACAAATTGAACAATTGAATTTTAAAATGAAAAGTACAAACAATACTTAAAAGCTATATATGGCATTATTATTAGAAATAAAATAAAGCTTAAAGCATTAGTCGAATTAGGAAATTAGGAAAACACGACGGGTACTGGCAGTTTGACATGCACTGGCTTCACAATACATAACTTATAAAACATAAACAGAACTTTTAACAAAACATATTGATTATATGGAAATAATAATAATTACTTGCTAAACTGTGGCTAGAGTTGGATTTGTGTCTACAGTGCTGTTGTCGATACTTAATTGATAGGGCTCTATATATTATAGAGTTTTGATAGAACTTTACCCCAAGCTGCTAGGATTCGCAGACGAACTGGTGGGCGATGAGGTTTTGGAATCGTTGAGGGGTATCTTAACCGGTATCCGTGATGGGCGGCTTTAGTATATATATGTTTATGAATAGTTAGCATTACCATTACCAAAGAATTGCATAGCTTAAGGACTAGCTTTCAATATTACTTAGAACTAACTTAGCTTTAGAAAATCATAATTTAAAATGTTATGTTTAGTATTTTTTGTTGTTGTAGTTGTTTCTTTTACCTAGTGGGTTTGTAGCCGAAGCCGGTTAGTGCTGGTATACTGGATGATCTACTCATGCCTCCATTGCTGTATTTGCAGTATTTTTTGTCAGGCACAAGATTCAAGATGGTATTTGTTTTTTGGGGAGGATTTGGTTTTTTTTTTGGTTTGTTTGTTTGTATTTTGATGTTGCAGTTAGTTGCAGACAAGCATTCAATTTCAATACATGATATTTGTTTCAATCGAGCCAATTCGTTTTGTAAGTTAGCGTTTCAATGATGTTTATTGTTTTTAGGTATTTTTTTTTTGTTTTCATATGAAATTTGTTCATAAAAGCCAATTTGTAAGTAGCATATCAAATGAGTATTTTTGTTGTTGTTGTTGTGTGAGTTGTCAAAAGTTAATGCGGTAACCGAAAATAATGTCAAAAATAAATAAATAAATTAATAAAGTTTATATATTGTTTCAAATTCACGACCCCAATATGTGAAATCCCAACCCCAATAACCGAAATCTATCTGAGAGGGACAAGAATCCTACCTTGTGGGCGCTGGGCTGGCCGAGCCGGATGCGGTTTTGCGTGTGATGGTGCTGGTGCCGCCATTGAGTCGGCTGCCGCCCGGAGTCGCTGCCGTGGTAACGGACAGACGTGCCGGACGTGGCGTGGTGCCGGTGCCGCTAACTGTGCTGGCACCGGAAACCTTGCGCTGCGGTATGCGCGATGGCGTATGATCGTCTGGCAAAGAATTCGATTTAGAATTGTACCCATTAGGATTATGGTCTGTCAGTTTGGACTCACCTGTGCTGTCCAGCGAGAGGGTGGAGCCGTGACGCGACGGCGGCTTAGAGCCTTGTCTACTGAGCGGGCGTGAGTTGGGCTTGGAGCCGGCACGCGATCCTCCTGGCGTGAGGCCGGTGCGTGTGCTCGTGTAGGTCACCTTGCGCGGCGTATAACGACCCGACGGTCCACCATGGCTACCCTCATTATCGCTAAGCGAATCCGGGGTGCTGGCCGACAGTGAAGAGCGCGATGGTCGCGACATCGGTATAGAACGCACAGAACGCTCGCGTACCTGTTACGGAGATGGAGGTGAAATGTAAGCAGTTAGTTGGGTACTATAATGGCGGCTTGTATAAGGTAGAGCCCCCTTCTTTTCTTTAGCTATACAGTCCCTGTTTCCTGTTTGCTTCCTTCACAACAGCATGCTCCTTTCGTTCGTTGAGTTTTCGACTTACCCAGTGTGTTGTTGGATGACAATGGAGGACGTGTGGACTCAGCGGTACCGAGCGGCTGGTATTGCAGCGCACGAATACTGTGCCGCCGGCGCCCATGTGTATGGGAAAGGCGCATGGTACTTGGTCTTGTGCACGGATTTTCTCAAATATTGGCATTAACTCGGCCAAGTGCTCATCAGCTATATACATATAGAAATACAACAGATTTTTGTTTTGTTTTTGTTTTTGTTCGTTGCTCAATCAATTCTTATAGGCTGGCGCAACGGTATATGATCATTTAAGCGACTGACCAATCAAAACTCAACAACAATAACCTAAAAATCCTACTGGATGACCTTTAACCTAGCCTCACTGAAGCGCTTGATTGTGAAATTTGAAATCTAGCATTATAACAAAAAAAAAATGGCGCAGTAAAACATAAAACAATTATCATAACTCAAGGAAGTACCAAATTATAAACAAATATATGTATATATATACGAGATACGTATATGTAGTATAGCAACAACAATACGTTCAATACAATAAATATATATATATAGTAGAATTATATATAAAATTCTCATGCACAAAAATCAAGAATCGGCGGCAGCATCGAGCTTGCTTTTTTGTCAACAACACACACAATGAACCCAAAACGAAAGCTCAAAACTTACCTCAGTAAATATTGAAACCCTAACACGGGATATACAGTTGGGGGATAGTGTTAGGATTGGTAACTCTTTTGTTTTGTATTTTTTTTTTTTTGCTTTTTTTGTGTTAACCCACAACTCGTTTGTGTTGTGTTTCTGTTGATGTTGATTTACCTTTATGATGGGACCCTGTCCACTCAAATATGGCGGCAAGTTGGAGCTACCGGCGCTGCCATTTTGCGAACTGTTGGCAGTTTGGGCAGCATTGGGTGTGGAACGTCTGGACGTGAATGCAGCCATGCTCTGTGAGACGCCATCGGCCAATATGAATTGCTCGCGTAGCTCAATGTTAGTGCGTCCCTTGGCTGCTCCGATCAATGCCGATATGCACACATATATAGCATGTGGTAAGCACACATACAAACACACATACACATATATATATATACATACATGTATACATGTATTTTGAGTGTGTTTTTGCATTTGATTTGTAACAACAACAATAACAACGAAATTTTGTATTTGTCACAGTTCGTATTTTGTTTGTTTGTTTGTTGGTTGTTTGGAATTTTTGTGTTTTTTTTTTTGTATTTATTTTTTTTTTTGGGCGCAGGCGAAGTGCATGTTGGGCGTGGGCGGACGGGCGGGCGGGCGAGCGAGCGGGCAGCGCAAGCGGATTTATTTGTGGAATTATATATTGGAAATATCGGGCACATTGCGTTTTCGGTTATCGGTTTCATTTTTAAAGTACAGTTACAAAAAAATATAACATTTGAAAAAGAAAAAAGGGGAAAAACATAAAATTTGATTAGTAAAAACGAAAAACGGTATACAAAATTATTAATACAACAAATTCCACTGTTTTTTTTTCTTTATTATTCTTTTTTCTTTCTTTTTTGGACGCACAACAAACAGAAATTAACGAATTTACGAGGCATGACGTGATTTAAAGTAGAGTTCCACTCAAAAAGCTATAGTCAAACAGGCTGTTAGTTAACAGCGCGCATAACTGTAGCCATGTTAAGCAAGAGAAGACACAACAGCAAAATAAATGAAAGCATGCACTAATCGAGTACTAAGCAAGTTATACTATAATTTAGGTTAGGTTAGGTTAGGTTCTAGGCAAATAGGCAATAGTGTCTGTTAACCCAGTAAAAATAGAGAGATAAATACAATGTATGGTATGGGGTATAATAATAATAATATCAAACGCAGAGTTAACATGTAAAAGCAACAAAAAATGAGCATGATTACTAAATGTGGCAACAAACCCTAAACTGTGAGATTTTCAGTTTTCGGGCTTTTAGGATAGGTGTTTTTTTTAATGGTTTTTGGTTTGGAGTTTGGTTTTGGATTTGGATTCTTGATTTCGTTTGGTTATTGTGTGTATGAGATAGGCGTCAAAATAGGCGCTGGCTAAATGTCAAAAATAGTATCTTCAAAAATAAAGCGCGCTGTTAATTTATGCTATTTTATTTGAAAGCAACTTTTCAACCAAACAAATTAATGAGGTTTTCAAAAATTGTTTTTAGGTTATGTTGTTTTTGTTTTTCTTTTGGGTTTATCATATGCTAGTAATATTTTTAGGCACAAAAGTTTTGATTTTTATTTTGTTGGTTAAATGACCATATCCGTTTTTGGTATTATATTAATATGATATTTGGTATGTTTTAAAAAAATGTTTAGCTTGTAAAAAAAAAATATAATTAGTTGTTAAGCACAACTGTACCTAAATGTAGTATATGTTTGTGAGAGATGTGATATGATCAAAAATGGTTTATAAAAGTATGATGCATATATAACCTAAGGTATAGACAAAATGCATGAGCTGATGGGAATGGTAATAGTTTTTTTTTTGTTTTTTTTTTGGTTCGTGGTGTGGTGGACTACAAAAAAGATACACTAGAATTAATATGCGATAAATGTATGAAGTCCAAACAGATTTATCGATAATTTCAGTGTGTGTTCGTATACGTATGCAACTAAATATATATGTAGAGAGTGTAGGTGTGGCCTTGCGCTTGAACTTACCGCGACAAGGATCGTTCTTCTGCAGGAATTCATCCAAAGCAACCCAGCCACCGCCAACGCGCACCATAACAGTGCTGCGCAGGATGCGAACCAGGCGCAACTTCTGGGAATCACCAAACTGCAAGCCAAACATAATCATTCATTAGCAGTTGTTAAGAGTCTATTTGATGCGAAACTCACTCTGTATTTGCCTTCGCCAACTTGGAACACACGGAACTTTTGACGACATGTGCAGAGCATGACCAAACGTTTGACCTCATCGTGTATCTTGTCATTGTCATTGGCCGGTTTACGTTCCTGCCAATCGGGTCGCAGAGCGGCAATGAATTCCTGCCAGTCAATGAGACCCTCGCCATTGCGATCGAACAGATCGGCAACAGCCTTCATCTCCAGACCCGATGTATCGAATTCTGTTAAGGATATCATATTTTTAATATCTCATGTAGAGTTTGTGTTTTCTTTTAGTTGGTACTTACTCGTATTGAGTATGCCATCGATGAAGACATCGCGTGGCACCATGCCATTGTTGTCCTTGTCCATCTTACGGAACAGATCAGTCAAGCGCGACTTCTTGTGATTCATGTGCTTGAGGAACTATGTGAAAGATGAGTATTTTTAAATATTATTATCATTATTTAGAGTGTGTTATGGCTGTGGCAGTTACTTACGCGCTTGCGCCAATCATCCCAGCTAAAGTTGCGAGCACGCTCCACATCCTTCAGATACATGAGATGCTCGTGGAGCAAACGTTGACGCTCCCATGACAGCATCCACACATCACGCCACTTAGTCCACAACAGTTTGGCGCGTGGCGAACGGAATTCGAGTTCGGGACCAGTAGAGCTAACAGGGCAGAGTTGGTAATTACAATTAGTAAGTTTATAAATGGCAAACAAATTCAATGAAAGCTAATTAGATATGAAAAAAGGAACAATAAGAAAACTACAAAATGCTTAACATACACACAAAAATAGTATTGAACAGATTTAACAGAACATTTAGCATAGATGCACAGTTTGAGCTGCACTGATTGTAATGGGGAGCAGGAGCGGGCACTTACCTTGGCGAGAAACGTGGGCCATAATGCGGCAGGCGATCTCTGTCGGGCGTATCGCGCGTTGGCGTAATACGACTGATATATATTTAATATATATATGTATATATATATGTTTATATATATGATTATGCAGAGCAAATATTTAAGCAGCAAGATGCATAGATTTTTGATATGAGGCAAACGTTTACGGTAGCGTGATGAGAAAGAGTTTCACAAAAAAGATACAAAAAAGAGAAGGAGAGACAAAAAAAACAAGAACGATCAAATAACGAAACAATATACACACAAGAATAATGTACAAGAGCAATACAATAGGTATTTCATATATATATTTTAATATAATGTATACACAAAAGAAATAACATTTCGCAGCATTTCCAAAAATAGTGTTGCATAGAGCCGAAAGAAAACAGAGTCGAAAAACAAAAACAGAAATTTCATTTTTTTGTTGTTTTTTTTTTTGGTTTTTTTTTTTAGAATTTAGAAAGTGCATGCACTATTATTTTTGGAACAATTGTAGTTAAAAGACAAACGCCGTTGGAAACAAGGCTGATAACTCACCTGCCCTTGCGTGCGTTGAGTCCTTGATCGCGAGAGCCCTTGAAGCTGTGGAAGAGAGAAGCATTTGCAAATTAGGCAATGTGACGAAACAGTGCTGTAAAATATATTATTAAGCAACAGTTTAAGCAGCAGTGATTAAGCCGGGTGCTTGAAGTTTTGTGTTTTGTGGGAGCAACACTACGTGATATGATAGATGGTTTAGCTATTACCTATTAGATAGATAGGCAGGCATATCACACAAGGTATTTTAATGAGTTTTAGTTATATCAGTTCACTTCAGTTAACTTTGACTTTGTTTAAGATTCTATTCAATTGAGGTATTTCTTTTGTTTTTGATCTGTTATGATAGATGATATGGTGGGTGGTATATAGGTATTCTTAGCAAACTTGGAATGTTAGCTCAGTTTAGTGCTACATGGGACACAGAGAAGCTTCAAGTTGTTGTTGACTTCAACCAGTTGGTAATGTGAGCATTTGTGTGTGTGTGAGAGAGCGAGAGTGTTGGTAAGCGCACTGTGGTTTATTTTGGTTTTTATGTGGCTTGCAGTGGTAGTTTATAGAGTAGAAGAGTAGAGTATAAAGTAGCTGTCAAACCTTTGACGTCGCAGCTGGCCATCGGGCGACTGTTCACGCAGATCGTGACTGGAGCCACGACTACAGTTGTATACATATATATATATAGAGTTGTTGTTGTTGTTGCAAGGTGTCGGATAGAGTATATATATATTGGATAGGCAAGAGTTTGTGGGTGCAAAAACGTTGCAGGGGAAAAAATATTTGATTTGTTTTTGTTGTAGCAATAAAAGTTGGTGAAAATATAGCCAAAAACAAAAAAAAAGGAAATAAAAATAATAATAAAATAACCATATATACAAAGGGTTTCTGAGTAGCGAAGGGTGGCAACTCTGGGAATACTCACACTGGCGTCTTGCCGCTACGCGATGGTTTGCGAGCACCTGGTGGCAGTTGGCGCGGCTTGCAGGCGCGATCCACCTCGTTCTGGCGACGTGCGGTGTTCTCCATGAATTCCTTGTGATCCTCGATCAATTTCTCAACCGGTGGTATCTCATCAGGCAGCCGTTCATGCTTCAGATCTACGAAGGCATAAAGCAGATTAGCTGAGGAGCGTAAATCTCTGAATTGGTTTACTCACTTATTAAGGTGCCCTCGAGACCGCTGAGCCAGGCGAGCAGCTCCTCAATGGTATCGTCCAGATCCTTGAGCGATTGCAAATGCAGTCCCAGCTTAGACTCGCGATTAATGGCCCATTGACGCACCTCCTCCCAACGTTGCTGTATGATCGATAGCCAGTTCTTGATGATGGGTATAGCATCCGGATACGCTTTGCCAATAATAACCTCGGCATACTCGAACGTTTCGCTCTTCTCACGCTCCCGGACGCGCAGATCCTTCATGAATTCCATGTGAATGTCCATCATCTCGCGCGAGACCTTCTCATCATCGGGTGCATTTTTTGCATAGCGCAACTTGTTCTCCGCATGATCCAGCCAATCGAACAGGGCCTGAACTCGTGCATTCAGCTTCTCAGCATCGGTGAGAGCAACTTCAAGCCGTTCGCCACGTTTGCCGACCGCATTTTGGACCTCATCCCAAATGGATTGCAGCTCATCGAGCTTCGCGCCCACCTCGGGATTATTGCCGGACCGCTCCAGATCTCGTCCCGTTTTGAGGACGCCCTGCATTTGAGCGGCACGCTTCTGCAGATCCTGTTCAATGTGCTTGTGATGCTCGCACAGACCCTGCACCGTCTCCAGATCACCATGGACAGGTCCGTTCTCGTTCAACCTGCTCTTGGCCTTCTTCAGCCACTCGAGCAGTTCGCCGAGCGCATCGCTAAACTGCCCGGAAAGCAGTAGAGCCTCCTCCAGTTTGCGTTGTCGCTCAATGCTCTTCGACCAGACGCGTGTCCATTGCTCCTTGAGCTCCAACAACATCTTGTCCAGCACGGGACGATCACCCTTGGGTGCTCGTTCCATGAGGTTCTTGCCGGTGCGCATGGTGGCATCGTACACCGATTGCTTGGCGCCCAGCTGGCGATGCGTCTCCTTCAGCTTGATAATGTATTTCTTGATCTTCTGCGGCTCCTTGGAGGCGGTGGCCTCCTCAATGATCTGATCAAGCACCTGTTCAGTTTCCTGCAGATACTGCATCATGCCATTCCAGGCATCATTGAACTCACGCGCCTCCTTGTAGCCATGGTCCAGAGCACGTGTGCGCTCCGCCGCCTTGCTGACGACACGCTCCCAGCGATGCTGGACGGACACGAGCAGATTCTTGATGAGAATCACATCTTGCTTCTGGCTGAAGTACTTCAGATGTGTACCCTTCTTGTCCAGCAGCAGCATGGCCTCGCGATGCGTGCTCACATCCTTCTGCAGCACCTTATGCTCCTCCATCTGGGCCTGAATCGTTTCCAGGACACGCGAGACGGGCTCAGCATTCGACAGCTGCTTCTCCGCCTGGGTTAACCACTCGACAAAGGCCTGAAGTGTGTCATGGAATTCAGTTGCCTCTTTGAGCGCAATCTCCAGTTTGATCTTCTTGTCGGAGGCACGCGAAACAACTGCATCCCAGCGTTGCTTCAGAGTGCGCAACGTGTGCTGCAAATTGCTCGAGGGGACCTTCATCTGGTTCTGGCGCTTGATGTACTCCTGTCCCTGTGCCTGGATGGTCTCCACCTTGGGCCTGTTCTCATCCAGTTCGTTGTAGACCTCCATAAAGCGTTCCAGCTGCTCGGTGGCAGTCTCTGGCAGACCACCAACTGGTTTGCTGGCACCAATCACGGCATCTACATCGCCCAACCAGCCCAGAATGTCCTGGACCTCGGCTATGTAGCCCTGGGCTTCGCGTAGCGATTCCTCCAGCTCGTGCTGGCGATCGCTGGCCTTTTGCAGCAACTGCTTCCACTCGTTGTTCAGTTTGCGCAGCTTCTCCTGCGTCGTCGATGCCTCCACAGAGCCCTTCTCTGTCTCGATGAGCTGGCGTCCAGCATCGTTGAGTGTATCCACAGAGTTCTGATGCGCCTGTATATCATTGGCAAGCACCTTCAGCTTGGCCAGCTCCACTTCAAGCAGTTGCGGGTCTCCAGGTATCTGTAGTTAAATCAGTTAGTTCGATTTTACTCTCATTCAAAGAAATAACTCTTCTTTGCTTTCTTCTTACCGGCTTCAGCTGATCCAGAGTGCTGTCTGTCTTGTTTATCCAGACCAACAGCTCGTTGAGCGCATGCTGGAATTGACCCAAGTGGAGCAGTGCATGCTCCAGCTGCTTCTGGCGATCGACCATGCCACGCAGCAAAGACTCCCAGCGACGATTGACCACCGTCAGTGGTTCCCGAATTGATGCCGCCTGCTCGGGCGAAGTGCGTTCCGTCAGTTCCACAGCTTGTCTGCAAGTGGGCAGGCAAAGGATTAGTACAAATTGCGTATGATTGGTGCTCAAGAGAACGCAGGCACAACTCAACATTAACAATAACAATAATAATAATAACAGCTGGCGGCTGTTGGTGCACATGCAATAATATTTTGGCTTGCGGCACAAATCATAAAGAAAAATCATGCGCAGAACAGATCACAGATCAGGGATCCAGAGATCAAGCATAAAATATGTGATCTTATCATGGATCATGGATCGTAGATTACAGATCAGCGATACAAAAAGATCAGAGATCACAGATCATAGATAATTGATCATAGATCAAAGACCATAGATCATAGATTTGTATCAGAGACCGCTGATTCTGGAACACAGATCAGATCAGATCAGAGCAGATCACAGCTTGCAATGCAGGCACTTAACAGTACACAACAAACATCAAAAGGAACGAACGATAGAACGTACGAAATTTTGCAACTAGTATCTTGCCTTTCTAGAACTCTGCCAATTGTTGAATGGAAGACCACCATACGTTAAAATACGTTAACAGATTATTAGATAAGAGTTTCATAATACAGGTCTATATATATACATATGATAACAAAGCTTACCTGTTTAATGCTTCTACTTCGACCATATGCGGATCGACTTCGTCCTTGAACGCCTTGAGCTGTTCAATTTGTCGCTTGACGGCATCAATGTCGGAGCCCACAGCTCCGAGGTGAGCAAACTTATCCTCGGCCTTGGTGAGGAATTTGAGCAGATTCTGGAGCGTCTCGTGGAACTCCATGGCCTTCTCCATGGCATCGATTAGGTTCTCCTCACGCTTGGCATACAACGCTGTAATGTTGTCCCATGCATTGTCCAGATCCTCAATGTGTTTCTTCACCTCTGGCTTGTCTGGTTCGCCACACATGTTCATCAGATTGCTGCCATGGCGACGCACTTGCTCCACCTCCGGCTTGGTCTGATCGATCTCGTGCCGGATCTCCTGCAGTGCCACCTGTTGCTTCTTAATGTCTTGCGGCTGTGCCGCTGGTGGCTCTTGGCAGGACAGCGTCTCCTCCAGATCCTTAAGGGTCTTCATGACACTGTTCAATTGCTTCCAGAATGGTTCGGCTACGCTGAGTATATCGTCCAGGGAGCTGCCACGTTTCTTGGTGGCCTTCTGCACATCGTTCCACAGCGTGTTAAGCTTCTCTAGCTTGGCCTTGATGTCGCGCACAGCCGGATCAGCCTTGTTGCCCGCCTTGGCAATGACATCGTTGGCTGCCCGCTGCACGGCGCTAAATGCATCCTGTCGCTTGTCCAGATCATCCATTAGAGCATCATTATCCTCGATCTGTTCGCGGATCTTCTGGGGCAGTGCTGAGAGTGGATCCAATTGATTCACCTGATCCACAGTGTTGGCCAGGGCACGAAGCATGCCCTCCAGCTTATCGGAGAACTGACTGGACTCCTGCAGCGCATTCTCTAGCGCCTGTTGACGTTCACGCAACTCCAGACGCAGTGCGGCATAGCGTGCGTTGTCCGTGTCCAAAATCTCATTGATCTTGGCACTATCATCGTCGGCAACCAGGGCGCCCAGAGCTTCACCCGTCTTGTTCAGTTTGTCCAACAGTGGCTTATGCTCGGCAATCGAGTGCAGCAAACGCTCGTTCTTGTCCTGTTGCAGTGTGATCTGATCTGGACGCAGGGCAGGCATGCTCAGCCTTGAGATTTGCTGCTCCATTTCGTCCAGCCAGGTGGTCAGGCCTTGGTGCGAGTCGGCGAAATGCTCGGACAAGGGCAACGCCTGTTCTAAGATGCCCAAGCGTTCGCTGCACAACTGGGCGACGGTGTCGACAATCTCCTTGAGATCGTCCAGTTTCTCGCGCAGCGTTGCCGTATTCTCGCTCTGTGGCGACTCACGCAGCACCTTCTTGGAGGCAGCGGTCACATCGCGCACGCGTCCCTTCTGACTGGAGATGTCATCGTTGATCGAGCGATGCTCCTGCAACTGAGCGCGCACCAGCTTCGGCTCCATGGCCGGCAGATCCGCTTCACGGAGTGTGGTATCCATTTCACGGAACCACTCCAACAGCTCATCAATGTCACCGGTGACTTCCTTCGCTCGCTGATTGCTCAAATGCAAACGTTCAGCCTTGCGTTGAATCTGCTCAACGATGGCATCGAAGCGACGATTGTCACGGGTGACAATGTTCTCGATGGTGGCAGCACCTTCGCCCGGCGACAGCTGACACAGCTGTGGTCCCACCAGATTAATGGTATCCAGTATCGGTCGCATATCGGACAGTTCACTCTCCAGCCGCAGGACATCGGCCTGGCGTGGTTCACTCGGCGCCAGAGCAGTCTCGGCACTCTGCATCCATTCGACGAGACGATTGTGGGCCTCGTGGAACTGTTGCACCAGTGGTAGAGCATTCTGGGCATTCTTGAGCAGATCACCGCCACGATTGGTCAAGTCACCATAGCGACGTTGTAGCGAGTCCAGCTTATCTTTCAGTTGTATAGCCTCATCGTTGGAGATATGCTTCATTAGCTCCGCACCAGATTCAACAGTGGACTCAACATTGTTAGCGTGTCCAGCTATATTCTCGTTCAGCTCCAGCAGATGATCCATTTGCTCCAAGAGCTTCTCTGCGTGGACGGGCACGGATTTGAAGCGTTTTAGCTCGTTCTCCATGCTCTCCATCCAGGCCACCAGATCCTGATAGCTGAGCACCAGATGCCTCAAGCCTTGACGGGATTCGGCAAGCAATGCACCAATATTATCGCTGGCATCAACCAATCCTGTATAGCGTTCGGTTACGGTGCGCACCTTCTCGCCAAGATTGACGGCCTCCTCATCGCTGACCAGATGCATCAGCTGACCGGCGACATCGGCCAGATCCGTAAAGTCGGGCTGCTTGCCCAGAATCTCGTCGTGCAGACGATCGTGTTCACGGATACGCTGCTGTATCTTCTCCTCATCGGTTGGTATTAGTTCCATGGCTTTAACGGCACGTTCCGTATTATCCAGCCACAGTTCGAGTGGACTGATCTTATCGTGGAAACGCTTAGCCACCTCCATAGCCTCCTCCAGATCTTGTTCACGCTGTTCGGCGCCATTAGTTAAAGCATCGAATCGCTTCATCAGATCATTCAATTGCTTCTCGATTGAGGCGCGTTCAGCGGGCTCACAATGACTGGCCACCTCTTTGCCCAGATTGGCCAGCGAACCCATTGAGTTCTGGCGATCCAGCAGCATTTTCTTGAGGAATTTCTGTTCCTGCAGCTGCGCCTTGACCACCTTGTAATCGCAACTGGGCGATTTCTGATTGGCGACCATTTCCTCCGTATCGCTGAGCCATTTCGAGAGACCTGCCAATGCTTCCTGGAACTTGCCGGACTGTAGCAGGGCGACATCCAAGCGACGATCGCGCTCGTTCATACGCTCCTTCAGATCATTCCAGCGATCATTCAACTTCTCCAAATCCTTCTCGATGACATTGGTGGAGACACCGGTGCCAGCGGAGCGTACCAGATCTCGTCCCGACATGTTGACCTTGTCCACATTCTGAGCGAGTGGTTCGACCTTGCGTTCACGGAAGTTGCGGAAGTCCTCCTGCTGTCTACGAATCTGATCCAGTTCAGAGCCCACCGGTTTCATGCGTTTGAACTCCTCGCTGACATCCTGGATATCATCGAGAGTCTGCGACTGCATGTCGTAAAATTCGCGAAGTGCCTTCAGGGTGCTCTGCAGCTTATCCTCATGATCTCGCACACGATTGTCGAGGCGACCCAGGGTCTTGCGCAGCGTTGCGATTTGCTCGCGCGTCTGACTCGTGTCGGCTGAGAAGCCTGCATCGACCAGGACATCAGCGGCACGTTCGGCATCCTCCAGACGACCGACCAGGCGTTCCAATTTATTCTGCAGCTTGCCCACATCATCCAGTTGCTGCTGGACAATCTTAATCTCACGCGCTGGCGGCGCCAACTTCTCAATCTCGGACTCCAGATCGTTGAGATCGATGCCCAGCGTTTTCATCTGTTCGTTGAACTGAGAGACTGCTGTCGCAGCCGATTGCAGCTCACCGCAGCGATCATCGAGACGTTCTTGAAGCTCGGACATGCGATCGGCGAGACTATCAACCTCGCTGGTCAAATGATCGGCATCGCCGCCGGTAGCACGCGCCTCGGCGCTAATGTCCTTGGCCTGACCCTTCAGCGATTGCAGTGGTTTACCCAGACTGGTCAGCTCCTCGCGTATAGCCTTCACGCGCTCCAGCAGCTTGGGATCCTTGGCAGCACCGCCAAGCGCATCGTGGGCAGCAAGGCGATCCTCGCAACGACGCAGCGAATGATCCAGATTACGCAGCTCATCATTAAAGTCGCCCAGGCGACGCGAACAGTTCTCAATCTCATGGGCGCGTGCAATCAAATCATTATTGAGACGCTCCCAGCGATCACGGATGTCCTGCAGCTCGGCCTTAATTGGCTCCTTGTCGATGTCACAACTGGTGAGGAAGGTATCGCCCAGGCCCTTGGTATTCTCAAACTCACCCGAATGCTTCCACACCTCACTGCGGAATGTCTGCAAATCACGAAGACGTGTCTCCAGGTTGGATTTGGACAAGACGCCAGGTGTCAGATCGGCCAGCTTGTCCTCAGCGGTGCGCAGCCAGGCGAGGAACGTCTCGGAGGTCTGTGAGTACTTCTTGCAGTGTTCCATGCATGTCTGCAGACGCGTATGACGATCGACAGCCTCACGGCGCAACTTCTCCCACTGCTGTTGAATGCGATCGAGATCGCGCTTCACGCCACGATCCTGCTGACGTTCCGTCAGATCCTTTCCCTTGTTGATGAGCATAATCACCTCGTGCTCACGGGCCATCACCTCACGATAGATGGGTTCGTGTGTGTCGATCTGATGTTGCAACGTTGGCTTGTGTGCAGAGACAAGCAGACGATCGGTGAGATTGGACAGCTCACCAGAGAGCCAGCCGAGTGTCTTGGAGCAGTTCTCGGCGAAGTGACGACCATCCCGTAGCGATGCCTCCGTTTCGGCCTTCTTCGTGTCCAGCTTCTTCTGCAATGCCGAATACTGTTTCTCCAGAGCGGCAACGCGCGAATTGACATCGGCACGTGATGCGGGATCTCCGAGTATATTGCACAACGTGGCTGCCGACTGTTCCACATCGGCGAGGAGGGGCCGTTGACCCTCCAGCTGACGTTCGAGGTTCTCGATCTTGCGCAGATTCTCCTGGTGATCGCCATCCAAGGGCAGCGTGTCCAGATTATCGCTAATATTTTGCAGCGCTTCACGCAGACGATTGACAGCCGCATCGAACTCCTTGGAGCTGTCAGCAGCACCGCCTAAACTATTGGCACGATCATCCAGTTTGCCCATCAGATCATCCCACTTGGTCAGCACATCCTTGAGCTTCAGCTCGACGGCCTGGGCATCGGGTGTGCCGGCCAAATGATCGACAACATCGTGACCCAGCTCCTGGAAGTGCTTCAATTGCGGCTGCTGTGTGCGGAACTCTTCGCGCAGCACTTGCACCTGCTGCACCTGGCTCTGGACCATGCGTGGATCCGAGGAAATCGGTCCCAATACGGTCAGCATGCGCTCCTTACTGTCCAGCCAGCTCTTGAGATTGCCATGGGTATCGAGGAAATCGCGCAACTTCTCTGAGAAGGCAATGCGATTCTTGCAGATATCATTGAGATTCTTCCATTTCTCCTGAATGTTGTCATTCTCCAGCCGCAGCTGTTCGGCGCCGGGCACATCCGATTTGCGTCGCAGGATATCCTTCACCTGTGCCTTGGTAGTGTCCAGCAGGCTCTGCTTCTCGTACATATCTTCGAGAATTTTACGTGCCTGCTTAATGCAGCGATCGGCTTCCTCCTTGTTGGAGACGGACTCCTTGGGCACCTGGCGCTGAATGCGCTCGAGGAACTGGGCCAAGCCCTTCAGGTTCTCGTATTGCTTACGCAGCTCCTCGCTGAGATTGTCCAGTTCGTGCTGGCGATCGTTGAGACGGACGCCAATTAGGCCGTAGCGATTGTTGATTTCGCTCAGCTGCTGCTGCACCGGAGACAGCTCAGAGAGCTGGAAGCCATCCTGAGAGGATCTGCGGCTACCGAATCCACTGGAACCAGTCGATAGTGGCGACAGTATGCCTCCCTTGGTCGGGCTGGGGCTTCTGGCGTCTCCGGACATGCGACGCAGCGGGCTCGTCCTCTTGATCGGACTATATGTGGACCGTTTGCGTCCAGGACTCTCGGGTCGCACCAGGGCATCATATTGCGAGCCAATGTCATTGATCTTATCAATGGTTGGCGCATAATCGCGATAATCCTTGCAGATCGGTTTCAATTCATCGTTCTGCTGCCGAATCTTATCCAGATCAATGGCCACCGGTGCGAGTCCATTGACGCGACCCTCGGTTCTCGTTAACCACGAGAGGACATCGTCCTTCAAGCTCTCGTAGGCCACTTGACGTTCGGCCTTTTGCTTGGAAAGCTTGGCGCGCTCATCGATACTAATGTTGATGTTGCGCCACTGAGATTCCAGTTCCTTGATGCGATCACGCAATGCTCCCGTATCGGTCACATCCCGCAATCCAATCAGATCCTTGCCATTGCGTACACAATCCTCAAACAGTGGTGCCAGCTGATCTTTTTCGCGTGCCAAATCGAGCATGCGGCGAGCCAGCTCCTCGGTGGCGAGCAAACTGGTCTCACGGCTATCGAGTGCCTCCTGCAGGCTGCCCATGCGCTGCTCCATGTTGCTAATGTCGTCCAGATACTTGGAGAGGCGACCGTGAACATCGTCCAGGAATTCGCCACGCTTGTTGGCCTTCTCGAAGAGCTTCTCAAATTTGCCCGTGACATCGTTCAGATTTGATTCCACTTTCTTGGTGATTCGTGCATTGGATGCACTGGCCAACAGATGCTTCGCAGAGACTTGAACACTGTCGATGCTCGCCTGATGCGACTGCAGATCAGCCAGGAGCACCTTGTGCTCCCGGATTTGTTCCTGCAGACGCTCCTTGATCAGCGAAGCGGGACGAAGATTCAGCTTGAACTTATCCTCGGCCTGGTTGACCCAACCGACAAGACTATCGAGTGCATCCTGCACGCCCTGCGATTGCACCAAGGTCTTATCCAGAGTCTTGCAATGCTCGCCGAGCGTATCCAGCAACTGCTGATAGTTGTTCTTCAGATCAGCAATGGGCAACTCCAGCTGATTGATCTCCATCGGGCTGAGTTGTCCGCCCAGGCTGCGCAGCAGATTGTCCAATGCCTGTTGGGCATTGTCCACCAGTCGACCGCTGGAGAGAAGCTCATTGTGCAACGCCTTCGCCTCATTCATCTGATCCTGCACGCCCTTGGGATCTCCAGCGACGGGCTCAGAGATGACACGTGAGACACGCGGCTGCATGCTGCGCAGCCACTCGTTGGCCTTGTCCAAGGCATCCTGGTACTCACGCTGTCTGCCACCCAAGCCAGAGACACGATCCTGCAGCGCATTGACGCGATTCAACAGATCCTTGTACTGTGCCGTTACCAGCGAAACCTCCTGGCGTATGGGACTCTCGGCACTCGACAGCGGCTCCACATGTGGCAAGCGTTCGGGCAGCGAAGTGCGGAAATCATTGAGCAGGGCCAAGAATTCCTTGCTCTCGTCAACAAACTTCTGGGCGGCCATTGTGATGAAACGCAAGTCCGCCTGGTGACCAATCACATCGCTGACAAACTCACGAATGGTGTCCGCCTGCGAGGCGAGACGCGTCAGATCCGACAGCGAACGTTCCTTATCTTCCAGCGTGCGTCGGGCCTGTTGCAACCAGTCGGAGAAGACATCCAACTCGCTGCGCAGCTTGGTGAGCTCATCGCGTCCAGCTTCGAGACGACGCAGCAGACGCACAGTGCGATCGTTGACGCGATCGACACGCGAGCGCAGCTCACGGCCAGAGTTCTCCAGAGTGGTGACCTCCGGGGCGGAGAGCACATCGCCGCCAGTCAACACAATTTGACGGATTTGCTCCAGACATGTGGCCACTGGACGCTGCTGGGATTCGATTTCATCCTTAATTTGCTGTGCAGTAAAATATATTGATTAGATGTAAGTAAACATTATGTTGTAAAAACAAAAGAGTACCTTGAGTGCATTGATTTGATTGCGCAGCTCATCGATTTTAACACGTGGTCCGCCAACGTTTGAGATTTTCTGTTCGACGGATGTGACCCATTTGAGGAGATCGTTGACATTCTCCTCGCACATGTTGAACTTCTCGAATACTGCTTGCTATTGACCAAAATTAATGATTTGATGGTGATGATAAAAGATCACAATTAGTACAGTGGTAAATTAAGAGTGTAGCTTAGCCAGTTACATTCTCATACTTATATATTTCATATTTGAGAGGGGGTAATAAATATATAATTATATATATAAAGAGAGCATATGAAATGTTCATTAACAATATAATCGAAAGTCATAAGAAATGGAACACAAAATATATATAGAGAGCACACAAACATACAATAGCTGAAATATTTATAATAAATTTAAGCGGCGGGCGAAAGCATAAGCAAAGGTTTTCTTCTTTTTTTAAAGCAGTTTATAGGACAGGCAAAAGTTGGATTAGGTCAGGCGTTAAAGCGTTTTAATAACCAAAATAAACACAATTATTATTATTATAATTAAAAGACGCACAAACCAAAACACCAAGGTTTACTACTAGCCACTACTAAAATTAACGAGCACTACGTTGAACTAAGGGATCTACAAAGTTTTATACTTTTAGTACGGGCATCTAACTACGTTTTTAATGGTTTTATATATTATTTGTTGTTGAGTTTTATTGTTTTTCTTTGTTTCTGGATTAGTGTTAATTTTGGGTTTGGTGTTTTTCTTTTTGTTTTTGGTCTGAGCATTCTCAAAAAATTAAAACTGCAAACGAAATAATATAATAAGAATAATTGTATGTATAATAAATAATATGCTGAAAATAGGTAGAAAATTGATATTTAAAAAATTTGTATATGTTAAGATAAAAACTAGAAAAATACTGACTAACTAAGATCACATTATGCGTACTGGGAGAGCAACAATTGCAATGTCTTAAAGCAAATTGTAGCTAGGAGCAAACTGTAACTTAGACTATATATACATAATAAAGATATATATTTAGAACTATGAATGAGGTTGGGTTAGTCAAATAGGTCCTTAGTATAGCAAGAATGCTGAAGGTAGTTAAAAGTGCTTTAGGATTCCATAGAATTCAAGAGTAGAGCTTGAAGGAAAATAGTATATAATATAGATATACAAATGGGACTCTACATTGTTACAGTCTGTCTGGTGGTGGTGGTTAGAAATGTGCCTAAGGAAAATGCTGCCTATGCAGGGGGTATTATGTTTATAAAGAGTATGAGATATCATATATATATATATATATATATGTATGTGTGTACGATGTATATAAATGTGTGTATATGTTTTGTGTTATCGATAGATAAGTATATGTATATGAAGAAAAAGAGAGATTATAAATATTTGATTGCCGACGTCATTCGTGCCGAGTAGAGTGGTATGGAGAATATGGAGACTCGCGTTTGCGTTTTGCGTTTGCCAGATCAAGCAATTTGATGATTGTGATATATGTAGTAGTCTATATATGAGATACGATCGATCGATCTGTGGTTGTGATTATCTATGTGGTGGTATGTAGTACTTTTGCTGATAGGATTTGCACTTGCTGCATTCTTAATTTGAAAAACTTTAAAGCAAGTTCAGCAACAAAGTTTGGCTCATTTTGAAAAATTATACGCTATAGTTATATATGTATTTGATTTTTGATGTAGTATTTTTTTTTTTTTTGTGAACGAGAACATATAAAACTCAATGCCATGCGCTGCAATATAAGAAATATGCTTCACCTTTTTCAGGACAAGCAAAATGAAATAATAATCATAAATATGATTTGCAAATGAAAAATAGTTTCTGTTTTTGTTTTAGATAAGCAGACAGAGCTTTTTGGGTTAGTCTGATGAGAGATAGAGTAGAGAGTAAAGTTGAGAGCGCGCTGATCAAAATAGTTCGTAACAAAAATTTGAAAAAATAATATAATTATTATTAATTAAGAATATACCAAAAAAGAACATGCCACGAAGCGAATTTTGGTTGCAACAATTTGTTTTGTCGTTTCGTATTTCGTTTTCCGAATTTCAATTTGTGAATGGAAATTTTGGAAAGTGCTATAAAAACTTGATTGTGTATTCACAATAGACAGAGGGAGAATGGGGCAGAGATTAAGGTCTGTGAAACTTACCCTCTGTTCGGCTGGCAGCAGTAAACCCTTCTCGGCAGCCTTCACCAAATCGATATTATTCTTCGGCTCATTGGCATCGTTCAGACGACCCTCCGTGGCATCGATCAGGCCGCTGCCAATGGCAGCCGCAAGCGGCAAGATGACCCCAGTGCTGGGATCACGTACCACCGTCGAGGAGGGATCAATCAGCCCGGAACCGATGGCCTCGGCCAACGTGTACTTCTTACGCTTAATGATGTCGGGATGCATTTGGAAGGGATCGACTAGACAGCCATTTGTCGGATTGTACAGGTTAAAGGTGATGGCCTCTAGCAAACCAAATGAACGCTTGGGTGTACAGATCAGGCCACTCTCGTAGGCCTCCTGCAGTGTGCATAGCTTTGAGGTTTGGGTATTCAACACATTTGCCTTGTTGGCATCCATCAAGCCCTTGCGGAAGGCCTCTGGCAAACGCACAAGTTTCGCTTTGGCCAAATCTTTGACCAGCGCCGAATCGGGATCAATAATGCCAAGGCCGGCAGCATCCTTGAGCGTGTATACCTTGGGCGTTGTCTCGATGACAGTCAGGGAATCGGGTGCGCTGTCATCGCTCTTGCTGCTGCTGGTGGTGGCTGGAGTTACTGGCTGATGGATCAACATGCCGGTTTGCAGATCCAGACTCTTGGATTCGGCCGCCTGATCAAATGTGATCGGTTCTCGTATATAGATCAACAGTGTCGGATCAAAGGCAAAATAGAGTGCTTTCGGATCGACGAGCGTGCGCTTGGAAACATCGACGAGACCGCGTTCCTCGGCTAAACTATACGGCACGAGTTTATAGCTATCTAAATCGCGAACCAGTGCAGTTTTCGGATCGATTATGTTATATCTGATCGCTTCTTCGAGCGACATTTCACGCGGTTTGCTAATGACAACGCTGACGGGCGTTTGACTCAACAGTTCAACGCTATCCTGTCGACGCACGATTTCCTCACGATCGGTTAAAGGACGCGGCACGGTCACGAGTATGCCACGCACGAAGGCAACATCATAGTTGTATGTAGATTTCGATTTGGGGTCGAGAACGCGTCCCTTTGTCACATCAATGTCGCTATTCTCAATTGCCTCAGTCAGAGGCAACTCCTTGCCTGTCAGCTGATTCTTAAAGACAGTGCTAGCGGGATCTATGAAACCCGAATGTATAGCCTCAACTAAATCGAGGTACTCGCCGGTTGTGGGATCGCAGAATTTACCCGTCTCGGGTCTGTAAAGCTGCATGCGCAGCACCATTTCCAGACTCAACAGGCGACGGTTCGAGACGATTAAACCACGTGCTCTAGCTGTCTGCAGATCCAACTGCTCCCTGCCTAGATTATAACAGCCCTTGGTGTCATCTATTAGGTGTTCCTTAATGGCATTCGCTAAGCGCATATATTTGCCTGTCTCATGGTGTTTGACCAAACTGGAGGAGAGACTAACGACATCCTCAACGCAAGCTTCGTTGAGATTTAGTTTGCGATTCGTTACGGGGTGAAGAACTTGACGTGTGGACACATCATAGAAGCGCATGGCTAAGAGTTCATAAAGCCCAAAGCCGGCATTTTCAATATCAACCATCAAGCCCAAACTCAAGGCCTCACCCAACGACACAAAACTGGAACTACCGGGTTCCTTGAAGACGCCCTCTCTTCTATTGATGATGCCATTGCGACAGGTCTCGCTGAGACTAAGCATTTGTTCGGTTTGCTCATCGAAATAGCAGGGCAGATGGGGATTTATGACAAAACTGCGCATACCCTCTAGCAAAGTGATCTTGCGACTCGTCTTCGGATCCGTCAATTTACCCGTCTTGTCATCAAAGAGACCCTGATGTATTGCACGCTGTACACTGATCGGTGCATTCACATCCATCAGGATGCCAATGTTGAAGGCATGCTTAATCGTCATCGATTGATTGTTGTAGAGCAACTTGGCATTCTGTGGATCAATCAGACCCGAATCCTTGGCATGCGTCAGACTGAGCGCTTTGTATAAGCCACTCTTGAAATCTCGGATCTGTACGCTCTGCTCATCGATCAGATTTGTGGTGAGTGCCTCGGCAAAGTTGAGTTTCTCACCCGACTTGGGGTCCATAAAGTGTCCATCGGTTTCGTCGTAAATATTCTTAACGACCGCCTCAATTAGACGCAACGGTTTCTTGGCCTCAACGAGAACACCCTTATCGAAGGCCTCCTTGAAATCGATGTGCTGATCATCGTCATCCCGCACCCTACCCTGTTGGCTATCCACAATGCCCGTTTCTGTGGCAATGCCGAATGGTATGACCTGGCCACAAACATTGACGACCGTCGAATCGGGATCGAGTATACCCCTACGAATGGCACGTTCAGTTGTTAGTTTCTCTCGTGTGATCGTATTGCTGAACTGACCCGTCTTCGGATCGTATAATCCACGATAAACAGCGTCGGGCAGACTGCGCTTGCGTTTCGGCGGTATGAGAATGCGATTCTCGAGGGCCTCGTTTAGTGACAGTTTCGTCGATGCATACGGATTAATGACAAAGCCACCAACTGGATCCAAGTAACCCTTGGCAATGGCCTCGCTGAGAGAAATTATAGACTCTGTCTTGGGATCGAGTAGAACCAGCTCTTCGGGATTAATCAGCTTCTGTGCAATGGCTGACTTCAAGTCGAGCTGTTTGCCATCGATGTCGAATTTGGCTGTCAAAGGATCGTAAAGACCACGCAGCAGACAATCGACTAGGGACCAGGGTTTCTTGTTACTGATTAAATAGCCCTTGTAGAAGGCCTCGTCGAGGCTAAGATTGGGCGAGCTGAGTGTGCCCCGGACCGTATCAAGGAGACCAACTTTGGCAGCCTCCTTGGCCGGCACAATCTTGTCATGTTCGGTATCCTTAACGAGTGTTGAGTCAAGCTCAACGAAACCCATTTCAATGGCCTGCTGGAGTAGAACCTCTTCGCCCGTAATGGGATTC